AAAATCCATGGATTTACCCTCTGGTATATTAACATAGACCCTGGCAGACAGGTGCTGGAAGATTCATGTCCATTAAAAAATAGTGATTTTCAGGGCCTATGTTAGTTTACTAGGGGGTACCATCTGGTTATGGCTAACATAGCCATGGAAAATCCCTTATAAATGGAGGTTTTAATGGGAAAATCATCTATAAATGGGTAATTTTCCATAAATCCATGGATTTACCTTCTGGTATATTAACATAGACCCTGGCAGACAGGTGCTGGAAGATTCATGTCCATTAAAAAATAGTGATTTTCATGGTCTATGTTAGTTTACTAGGGGGTACCATCTGGTTATGACTAACATAGCCATGGAAAATCCCTTATAAATCGAGGGTTTAATGGGAAAATCATCTATAAATGTGCAATTTTCCACAAATCCATGGATTTACCCTCTGGTATATCAACATAGACCCTGGCAGACAGGGGTTGGAAGATTCATGTCCATTAAAAAATAGTGATTTTCAGGGTCTATGTTAGTTTACTAGGGGGGTACCATCTGGTTATGACTAACATAGCCATGGAAAATCCCTTATAAATGGAGGTTTTAATGGGAAAATCATCTATAAATGGGCCATTTTCCACAAATCCATGGATTTACCCTCTGGTATATTAACATAGACCCTGGCAGACAGGGGTTGGAAGATTCATGTCCATTAAAAAAATATTGATTTCCAGGGTCTATGTTAGTTTACTAGGGGGGTACCATCTCGTTATGACTAACATAGCCATGGAAAATCCCTTATAAATGGAGGTTTTAATGGGAAAATCATCTATAAATGTGCCATTTTCCACAAATCCATGGATTGACCCTCTGGTATATTAACATAGACCCTGGCAGACAGGGGCTGGAAGATTCATGTCCATTAAAAAATATTGATTTTCATGGTCTATGTTAGTTTACTAGGGGGTACCATCTGGTTATGACTAACATAGCCATGGAAAATCCCTTATAAATGGAGGTTTTAATGGGAAAATCATCTATAAATGGGCAATTTTCCACAAATCCATGGATTGACCCTCTGGTATATTAACATAGACCCTGGCAGACAGGGGTTGGAAGATTCATGTCCATTAAACAATAGTGATTTTCAGGGTCTATGTTAGTTCACTAGGGGGGTACCATCTGGTTATGACTAACATAGCCATGGAAAATCCCTTATAAATGGAAGTTTTAATGGGAAAATCATCTATAAATGGGCCATTTTCAAAAAATCCATGGATTTACCCTCTGGTATATTAACATAGACCCTGGCAGACAGGGCTGGAAGATTCATGTCCATTAAAAAATATGATTTTCAGGCCTATGTTAGTTTACTAGGGGGTACCATCTGGTTATGACTAACATAGCCATGGAAAATCCCTTATAAATGGAGGTTTTAATGGGAAAATCATCTATAAATGTGCCATTTTCCACAAATCCATGGATTGACCCTCTGGTATATTAACATAGACCCTGGCAGACAGGTGCTGGAAGATTCATGTCCATTAAAAAATAGTGATTTTCATGGTCTATGTTAGTTTACTAGGGGGTACCATCTGGTTATGACTAACATAGCCATGGAAAATCCCTTATAAATGGAGGTTTTAATGGGAAAATCATCTATAAATGGGCCACTTTCCACAAATCCATGGATTTACCATCTGGTATATTAACATAGACCCTGGCAGACAGGGGGTGGAAGATTCATGTCCATTAAAAAATAATGATTTTCAGTGTCTAGGTTAGTTTACTAGGGGGTACCATCTGGTTATGACTAACATAGCCATGGAAAATCCCTTATAAATGGAGGTTTTAATGGGAAAATCATCTATAAATGGACCATTTTCCACAAATCCATGGATTGACCCTCTGGTATATTAACATAGACCCTGGCAGACAGGGGTTGGAAGATTCATGTCCATTAAACAATAGTGATTTTCAGGGTCTATGTTAGTTTACTAGGGGGTACCATCTGGTTATGGCTAACATAGCCATGGAAAATCCCTTATAAATGGAGGTTTTAATGGGAAAATCATCTATAAATGGGCCATTTTCAAAAAATCCATGGATTTACCCTCTGGTATATTAACATAGACCCTGGCAGACAGGTGCTGGAAGATTCATGTCCATTAAAAAATAGTGATTTTCAGGGCCTATGTTAGTTTACTGGGGGGTACCATCTGGTTATGGCTAACATAGCCATGGAAAATCCCTTATAAATGGAGGTTTTAATGGGAAAATCATCTATAAATGGGTCATTTTCCATAAATCCATGGATTTACCTTCTGGTATATTAACATAGACCCTGGCAGACAGGTGCTGGAAGATTCATGTCCATTAAAAAATAGTGATTTTCATGGTCTATGTTAGTTTACTAGGGGGTACCATCTGGTTATGACTAACATAGCCATGGAAAATCCCTTATAAATCGAGGGTTTATATAATGGGAAAATCATCTATAAATGTGCCATTTTCCACAAATCCATGGATTGACCCTCTGGTATATCAACATAGACCCTGGCAGACAGGGGTTGGAAGATTCATTTCCATTAAAACATAGTGATTTTCAGGGTCTATGTTAGTTTACTAGGGGGGTACCATCTGGTTATGACTAACATAGCCATGGAAAATCCCTTATAAATGGAGGTTTTAATGGGAAAATCATCTATAAATGGGCAATTTTCCACAAATCCATGGATTGACCGTACCATCTGGTTATGACTAACATAGCCATGGAAAATTCCTTATAAATGGAGGTTTTAATGGGAAAATCATCTATAAATGTGTCATTTTCCGCAAATCCATGGATTTACCCTCTGGTATATTAACATAGACCCTGGCAGACAGGGGTTGGGAGATTAACATAGACCCTGGCAGACAGGGGTTGGAAGATTCATGTCCATTAAAAAATAGTGATTTTCAGGGTCTATGTTAGTTTACTAGGGGGTACCATCTGGTTATGACTAACATAGCCATGGAAAATCCCTTATAAATGGAGGTTTTAATGGGAAAATCATCTATAAATGTGCCATTTTCCACAAATCCATGGATTTACCCTCTGGTATATTAACATAGACCCTGGCAGACAGGGGCTGGAAGATTCATTTCCATTAAAAAAAAGTGATTTTCAGGGTCTATGTTAGTTTACTAGGGGGTACCATCTGGTTATGACTAACATAGCCATGGAAAATCCCTTATAAATGGAGGTTTTAATGGGAAAATCATCTATAAATGTGCCATTTTCCGCAAATCCATGGATTTACCCTCTGGTATATTAACATAGACCCTGGCAGACAGGGGTTGGAAGATTCATGTCCATTAAAAAATAGTGATTTTCAGGGTCTATGTTAGTTTACTAGGGGGTACCATCTGGTTATGACTAACATAGCCATGGAAAATCCCTTATAAATGGAGGTTTTATGGGAAAATCATCTATAAAAGGGCCATTTTCCACAAGTCCATGGATTTACCGTACTAGATCTTTGTTTGCAACTCCAAATTGCTTTGACCATGGTTAGGTGTGTAGAAGCATGTGAAGCACAAGAATTGTTAAAAGCTAAGCCGTCACTGGTGATGGAAGTATACTAACATAGACTTAATTGAAATTTGCTGTGAAACCTTGCACAATGCCAAATGCTCCCAAACATCAGGTATGAATCAGGTGATCAGGTCTACGTTTGTGGTCTTCACAGCTGTTGCGTTGCAAAGTGCAGGTATGTAAATGCATTTCAATCAAGCTGTCATGCCTCCATTTTTCCATGTTTTGTATCATGATAGCCAACATGGCTGGATTTTGTAGGTCTATGTTAGCTGAAATCTGAGTTGCAGCCTGTTTTTTCGTTGCTCACGTGTATGGTAAGGCTACCCCCTTAGGTCTATGTTTGTTTAGTGGTATTGCTTTTCTAGGTCTAAGTTTATTTGAAGTAGTGTATGTTTATAAACCATCTAAGATATTGTTTGTATATCCATGAACAAAGTGTTTCTTTCCAGGGGTACAGTAGTTGAATCTTGAGGATAGTATGTTAATACGGATAAATTGATCCATAGCTCGTGAATGAATCAGATACCCTATAGACTCAGTTGAAATCTAGGGGTGGTTGTAGATTTAAGCTAGACTTAACATGAGGAACCCAGCAATTGGGCCATATCCAGTCAAAACATATGAAACTTATAGAATCATGTCACATCATCTTGATATGTGAATTATTGTTGAAGTTCCATGTTGAACTTAGCTGGTGCTTGTCCTGTGGAAATCTAACTCTGGAGATGGAACACCTAGTTTTTCAGTGGGTAAATTAGACAGGCATTCGCTCTTGATGGGACAATAGTCTAGAAATGATGGACTATCCAGTGCCAGGTTCGATTGCAGAGGATAGATTGGATGTGGGGTGGTTTTCCAAACCGGAGTTTGAGAACATCAAATAACTATCGATGGAGGGGATGGTAGGTTACGTAGCCGGTCATGTTGGTCAAGATCCAGGGGTCACGTGACAATAAGTGACTTCCGTCGGTGAAGAAGTACCATCATTTGATGGGCTTATGTCAATGGTAATTTCAGGATCCTAAAATGGAGGTACGTTAGTACCATATAAGGCTATATTTTGTGGGGATATTCCCTTACATAGTCTGGAGTTGATCACGAAAGGGGTTTTCCGGGACAGAAATGGAAATTATTCAACCAGCAAGATGTGAATAGAATTAGTTTCTATAGCCTTTAGATGCCTTTAGTATGTCCAAGAATTGGGAAACTTCAACTGTGGGCTATGAAACTCTTTGGTTGCCGATCCATCCCGCAGTTTGGATGTATATACAACGGTAGAAGCAACGGTATAGACCACATATATCCTCACCGTTGTTTTTGTGAACCAATGACATCATGCCATTTAGTTGTTCCAACCCAAAACCCAGCATTTGTTGCATGGCTTGTACGGCTACTTGGAAACCTCAAGCCACTGGTGGTCGTTGCGGCCGCCGAGGACTACTTCCAACGTCCGCAGATGAACGAAATCTTCGCCCGGAAGACCGATGAGCTGCGGCGGCAGTCCGTGCCTGAAGCTGTGCAGGGGGTGAACAGCGAGCGTCTCGGCATGTCTCGGCAAGCCACGAGCCATCAATGGGGTTGCAGCTGTCCCCCCCAGTTATAGGGGGAGTCACCTCGTAGGGAGTATAGTTTATAGCACCAGGTGAAGTTGTAAAGCCTCGAAATACTGAGAACATCAAATTACCTGGGAATACTGCAATCTGGGATCCTGGAAATGTGTTTTGTTGGTTTATCCTGATAAATCTTGATAGAACTTGATCATCATGGCGATACGTTACTCATAGCCTGAAAATACATGGATCAAACCTGACCGCAGCCACGATGTTTCAGCAGAAGTCACTGTTTCCAGACTACTTCTTGTGCTTCTGAAAGATTCTAGACCTTCACTTTTGTATCTGGTAACTTACCCTCTGGTGAACATGAACATAGCGTACTGGTAAATCACCATCTTCAAGTTCGGTAAATCAACGCACTAAATGGGCCATGCGGCCATATTCAATAGCTATGTGGCTATGTAAGAAATTACCAGAGGGTAGATCCCATATTTATCCCATACTGTATTTATCCCATATAATCCCATTAAACCATCATTAAATCCCATATGTAACAAATTAAACCATCATTAAACCATTAACCCGTTATATTAAACCATCATATGTATCCCATATTTATCCCAAAAAATCCCATTAATAAAGTTCATCCCCAGCTGGGTTAACAGGTACTTCCCCAAGTGGTTGGGCCCACTCTTCGTGGGCGTCTACGTGGCGTTGTATTCCCCCAGCGTCTTCGACAACTCCGTCTCCTTGGGAACCTTCCTGGCGATGATTCACGTCATGAAGGATATCAGTTCCGAATTTGCCGAGGTGCAAACCGCCGATCTGTTGATATCTGGTGAATATCTGGTTAATATCTGGTTAATACATATGGTTATTATATATGGTTATATAATGTATATACTGGTTGGTGGTTTGGAACATGTTTTTTTTTCCATATATTGAGAATAGTAATCCCAATTGACTTTCATATTTTTCAGAGGGGCTGAAACCACCACCCAGACGATGTTTGACGGCCCGATATGCAGAGTTTTTTGTTGCCAGAACAGGGCTTGAGACCTTCTACAATGATCAGATAGGATGTGGGATTATTCATGAATAATCACCAGCAAGGTCTCATATCCTATATATGATTCAATCTGATATGCATATATATATATATTCACCAGATTATGATGATAATCAGTATTATTATAGAGGGATATATATATATATATTATATACAACATATATATATATATGGAATATTCAATATGATTCACATTTTTTAGTATATGGATATTGGCACCTGACCCATGATCACCTCGGCTCCATTCGGCTCCAACTTGGAGGCCTACGACATCATCCTGGATCTGACGGACACCTTTGAGTCCATCAAAGCCTTGACGGCCACGTGGCACTGGTGAAGTCACGTGGGAATAGTCATGGGGATACCCCGGGGATACCGAGCAGCCATAGCTCTTGAAAATGGCCCAGTCGAAATAGTGGATTTACCCATTGAAACTGGTGATTTTCCATAGTTATGTTAGTTTACCAGAGGGTATCCAAAATCCGTGAAAATGATGACTACATATGACTACTATGATGACTAGCCCAATGGATTTAGATGGATTTTTAGTGGGTATATAAGGGCTGAATGGATTACGGCCTGGTATTTTCAGACAAGGCCGTGTACATGCACTCGTAGTGTTTTTTAACCAGCGGTATTAGTGTTTGCACCTTGACATACGCTGCCCCATGTGACAACCTTGAGGTGGTTCGATGTCCCCTTCAGATTCTGCAGCGCTGGGTTAAGGGATTACTTTGTGTGAGATAGGGACAGGGGTGTGCCCAAGAAAGGGGGACCCGGGAACCAAAAATATGAACAAATAAATATGACATGTCATGATATTATATTATGCATACACCATGCCATTTAGGCTGCAAACATGAAATGAATGTTTTGACAGTTGGAATTCCGCGAGTGGTCTGTGCCTCAAGAGAAACAAAAACATCAAGTTGCATTGCTGACCAACCCCCCTGAGGCAAGTCTACTATGTGAATTCAACAAGCTTGAATCCCAACCAGCCAGGATTGATCAAACATGATCAAACATCATCAAACACATGTATCGGAACCACGCAAGTCCATCCGAATATATCCTCCATGATCTGCATCATTTCTTCATGTTTTCCATCACGCCGTGCTGCCACCGAGGTGTTCTTCAACAAAGCCACCGATCTCTTGATGTGGAAGAAGGTGAACCGTCAGCGCCGAGAAGCCACGTTGCTGGTCTCAGTGATGGTGAAAGTACATGGTTCCGATCAAAACGAAGATCCCGATGTTCAATAGGACATGATAGGATATCAACGTATATCAACAAATGGTGGATTCATTTTGGGTGATGAGTTTTTTATTGGTTTTGGTTGTGGGCCCGAGAGAAAACTGGTGCCTAGGAGGCAAGCACGAGATGAGTTGTTCAAGAACAGCCACGATGAGAATCGCGAGCAGGGCGTGTACAAGACAGACCAGATCAAGATGCGGATCTTGGGCGAGTTCGGTCGTGACGGTTTTTAATAGGTTTTTTATCATCACCTGTTAATGGTCAGATAGGATATATATATATAATATATATATAGATAGATATACGTATATGTATATGTATATATATTTACATATATATATATATGTACTATATATATATATGTACTATATATCATCACCAATCCCCACTTGGTTTTGGTACCTCATTATAAGTGTTCTTGGGAAAACCTTTCGGAAAAGCCTCCGAAATCCAAAGGTTTGAATCATCGCGATGAAAAATCCCCATGGAATGCTTGGTTTAACATAACCCGCACGTCAACCCCAAATTATGCCACAGTCAATGGGAATATCACCACAAAATATGGCCTTATATGGTACAGTACCTCCATTTTAGGATCCCGAAATTCCCATTGACATAGTCAAAACTTGGATAAACTGCTGGTATTTGCGGATGGTCATCAATGCATTCAGAAAGGGATAACTGTTACAGCCATTGGTTACAGGATTCCCATTCTGGGATGGATGACCATACCACTTTTTTTTTGTCCCATCCCTTGGTTCATATTAAACACCCCCGGTTCATGATCTAAATGGCATTAATGTGCGGTTTCATCAGCTACATCCATCATGGTAACATATGGGAACCCTGGGGTTGCCAGATCATTTGACCATGGCAGAAATGGAGAAGAAACCAGGATTGATGGAATGACGTTTGGATGGGTGGACCATTTTGGAAACAAGAAGGACATCCTGATGAAGCACGGCGAAAAGGATGGCTTGATATGGCTTGAAAATCGAATGGGAGGGGGTGATTTGTGGAAAAGATCTTGATTTTGTGATGAGTGAGGCAAATTAACCTTGATTTTTTGGGATGGATTAAAGCCAGTGACATTTTTTTGAGTTGGGCTGCTTCTGACTTTGGAAAAAATCTTGGGGGTTGGTGTTTGCCTTGGTGTTCCTAAGGGGGGTGGGCCTTGGCCCAATTTGTTGACCATGACTCAGGGTGTTACCCACAAACGTGATGAAATGAATCGTAAACGGTGCTCCTCATATCATCTCTGAACCAGGAGTTTATAAATTCGAAATCCTGGCTTGACATTAGTGCTTTTGTGATATTGGAAGGCTGCAAGGCAGCGATCAAGGTAAAAAATGCCTTTCCACAAGGAGGATTGAGCGGGTGTTTTGGGAAGCATCCCAACAGCAAGCAGGGGTTGAGAATTTCTCAGCAGACACCAAGATAGTCAACATCCCGGCGGGCTCAACTACACCTGCTTTGGGGATAGCCTCCGGCAATCAAACGTGATTAATGAAACTAATAAAAATCCTCCATAAGAGGAGGTTTACAGCTGGCAAAATCATCCATCAATGCTGAATTTTTCCAGCCATGTCTGATTACTGGAGAGTAACCATGTAACCTCAGCTTGATAGACAGCACCCAATTGTTCTGGACACAACATCAATGGCCATTTCAGGATCCTAAATTGGAGGTACCAACCATATGTAAGGCCTATATAAGGCCTATGTAAGGGAATATCACCACAAAATATGGCCTTATATGGTACTAACGTACCTCCATTTTAGGATCCTGAAATTCCCATTGAACAGCTGGCTCTCGCGACCTAGGAACGTGACTTCGCAAGTGGACCAGGGAAAACTGGTGGCCGTCGTGGGGCCGCATGGATCCGGCAAGAAGAAGCCTGACCAAATGATCCAAAAACTGCTGGGGGGTGTTGGAAAACGGGAATGTCATCAATGGTCATTCCAGGATCCTGTACCATATAACTGGGTAAATTATAACGACCTCACTGCGACCTCACTGGAATAATGGTTAGTAAGGGGAATTATCCAAATATGGTCTTATTTCAGGTTAGTGAATTATTGTAATTTGCCCAGATATAAGGCCATATTCTGGGGGTATATCCCCTTACATAGGCCTTACATAGGCCAGTGATTAATTTAATGGTATTCGTATGGTATCCCCATCCCCAAACATTGGGAGTGCGCATAGGCTTCTAAACTGCTGCTTTTTGGGGGATACCACTTTAGATACCCCCAATGATTTGATGCTTGGCTTTGACTGAACATGGTGCATGTGTATATATATAGTATATATATAATATACATAATATATATATATAATATAATATAATATATATATATATGATTATATACACATCAGAACTATCCTTCAGGAAAATGATGATACACCTTGGGATTTCGGGATACCCCTGGGGTTCTGCTGAAGTTTCTGTGGTCTTTCACCCTGATTGGAAGAAGCTCCCAAAGTCGACATGTGTAACCGGGAAGGGCTGAAACAGGTGGTAAAACGTGCTGAAACCATCAACCAGACATTCAAGGAAGTCAATCAACTTTGCTTCTTCATACTGTCAGGGGCGAGACAACTTCATATGTTTTCTTTGCCAGCAGCGGTTGAAATCTAATATGCGAACTGCAAGTGCCTTGGCCTTGCGTAGCTATGTTCAATGTGGGTCACAACATCTGACCCTCCGCAATTTGAACCCCCCAGTTCCACCCACCAATCGGTGAATTGGCAGGGAAAACCCTGTTTCGAAGTAAAAAGAAAATTTCGGAATCCTACAAATAACTGTTTACCAATCCATGATGCTCATTGAATAATCATTGAATGTCGAGAATGTCGCTGTTGGCTAAATCCCCAAACGGTTAAATCACCAGTTTATCCATGGAATCTGGTCCAAATCATCCCATCCCTATAGTGGCAAGGACGCTGCTGTCGCTGCTGGGCCACATGATCTTCCCACAAGATGGGCAGATCTTCATCCCGTCGCACCTTCGCATCCTGCATGTGACCCAGGTAGGAATACGGCCAGGGGCCAGGGCCAGGGGGAAGAAAGGGGTAGAACTTACGGTATAACGGTAGAACTATGTGGGAAAAAAACATGAAAATATATACTGATGAGTGGAAGATATAACATGACATAACTATAGTTATGGATAGTGATGGTATAACCGCTACAACTATGGTAATAAGTTGAGATATAAACCTGACAACTTATTGGTGAATTCCCTGCCAGTTCCACCCCTGCAGGTAGAGTGAAGCGAGAATCCAGTGCCATAACTCTACATTAAGGGTTAGTCCACTTCGAAGTGAGCAGTGTTCAAAACCCCTGTTGGTTGATGAGCATTTATAGATGATGTTCCTTTTTTTGAATCGACAGTAAAGGGGATGTTCAATTGCCATGGCAATGATTACTGTGAGTATCAACTGGTGGCTTCAAAGGCTCATCACGTTTCCCTAGCTGTGATAGTTGGGCCCCAAGAAAAACTAACTACCTGTGTAGTTCGATTTCTGAGAGCAAGTGTGTTGCTAATCCTATTTATTGCAACTGTGTCGGACCTTATTCATGGCTGATTTTGTATGTGGTTGCATGATTTTGCATGATTTGTTTGCTGAAATGGTCCATCAATGTAGTCGACTAGTTGGTAGATGGGTGATCCCCCAGAAATCTCCCAACGGCTCAAGGGTTCCAAATGTTCCAATGGCAGCAGCAGGAAGCGTACATCTTGAATTTGTCGCCCTGGCGGAACCTCATCTTTGGTTGTGCCAATCCCAATTCGGTGGATCCTGAACGCATCAAGATGATTCTCAACATGCTGTCGCCCGGAGAAAGCTGTTGGGTCAGTTCCTGGGTGTTTTTTTTGGGGTTTCAACCATGGTTGGATTGATCACCCCATGGCCGGACCAGAGTGGCTACAGGTCCCAAAACGCTTGAGCTATCGTCCATGAATGTGTTCCAGCACCATGTTCCATCATCTTTCCCCACCATCCCAAACTTCTCCAGTCTCCAAGGGAAATGAAAACCACCTTGGATCTGATCAAAAAAGATTTGGAGAAGCAAGCAGAGCTACGAGCAGGTCACAAGCCCGCTGATGACTCTGAGGCTGAGGACGACATGAGTTGGGGACCAACTCCGGGAGGGGTTTTGATCCGAAAATACCACATACCCTCTGGTAATTTAACATAACTATGGAAAATCACCATGATTAATGGGAAAATCCACTATAAATGGCCATTTTCAATAGCTATGTTAAATTACCAGAGAGTACAATTCTAGCATATCCAATTGTGTTTTTGGCTCAACAAAATGTACAATACAGGCAATGGGTGTTTCCTCATGTGCTTCCATTGTTGAAGCTGGCTCTGCCAGGTCTTTTTTCCGCTTTCCGAGTGTTTCTAGGAGTCGGAAGATGAAGAAGAAACAGACATGAACAAGAGCAAGGTGCCTTCTGTCGCTATCGCGCTATCGGGGATGGCTGGCCTTTGGTTGTTTTTGCTGTGGCTAACACCAAGAATAATTTACAAAACATTGGGGGATTGAACAAAATTGTGGGGCAAAACATTGCAAAACTATGCAAAACTATTTTACGTACATATCATATATCATATACATATACATATACATATACATATATATATATACCGTTTATATATATATATATATCTACTATGATTATATGTATATATATATTATACCATTATACCATAATCATATATATACATTGCATCCAGTGTTTTTGTTGTTTGGTTTATTTGCTTTCCACCCCCTACTGAACGGACGATATATTTGTTGGACGTCTTCAAGTCACCAGCCGCGGTGTAGTTATGTAACAGGGTAGCAAAGGTCCAGCGATAGCTGAGAAGAATAGCATGGTACCAATATTGTGGCAGAGATATTAGAGTTGCAAATGATGGTGCTGCGCTACTTTTTTGTTTCTTCTTTGCGCGTTGACACCATTTACATAGAGAGTGCAGTTGCCTCCAATTACTTTCAGCCAGATATGACCAAAACACTCATAATGTGGAATTGTGGAAGGCGAGGTGTGCTAGGAAAGATCAATACTCCTCTTTGGAAGTAGCAAGTTGAAACAATTATTTGAGGCCCAAAATTTACATTACTGTCAACAGGACCTATAGTTATTTGTTCTGTTTGTGGGGTTGCAAATATGGATTGCCGCCCTTACCAAGCAAAATCCCCAGGGCGACGATGAAACTTGGCACGAGTCGCTGACCTACTCGGAAAAGGTGAAGATTCACTTGGCTCGCGCATTGATCATGAACCCCGAGGTGTTGGTCTTGCAGCGACCTTTGTAGCTAGACTGAAAAGGAAAAGGTCGCAGTCATAGCAGTCAGTGGTAGGTTGAGTCATGTGACCCACTGCTTTTACTTGAACCTGGAAGTGTTGAAGTCTTGTAGGCACCCTTTTTTTTTTGTGGGAAGACCAGTCTGCAATTTCAATGACTTTCCGCTGAGAAAATGCATAGGCCCTTGGCAAGGGTGCTGCAAGAATAGTGGCGTGCCTGTCTAGATTGAATATACATATATGATATGTATATATATATATACATACATATATATATATACACATTACATATATATATATATATACAATTATATACACATATATATATATATATAATCTATGTCCAAAAAAATGGGTACCCCAAAATCCAGTGGTCCCATTTTGCTGTTTCCCTCCTCAAAAAGTCATGCTGGTTCCTATGGCTCCAGCACGGCTCCGGCGCCTTAGGCACCACTACGACGATCTCAACGCCGGCAAAGTGCTGGAGGCGCCGACGTGGAGATCTGACTTTTTTTGTTCTCCAGTGGATCCACTAAAAAGGGCATTGCTGTAGCTATAAATCAACCATTATTGGTTAATTGAGTTGAAGATTTTTATTTTAATTTTCATCATATCATAATCCATCTTCTTTTTGATCCATTAAATGTTATAATGTTATTGGTTATATCATAACTATTACTGGTTAATAGTATCATATCATAATCATAGTGTATTATTGAAGATGGATTATGATATGAAGATGGATTATGATATGATCGTTTAATAATGGTTGATTTATACGTACAGTAATGATCCATCATAATAATAATGATCCACAGGTCAATAATTAATAACTTACTAATTATCATATTGTAATCCATCTTCAAGCCATGTTTTTAATTGGCTATGTCCAATTGGGATATATGATGATAGATGAAACATCTTCCATCCCAGGGTCCCAGGGTCCCAGTCCCAGTCCGTTTGGAGCATTGGGAGGTCCTGTATACTCATGTGCACGAACGTGGTCTGGGCCTGCCGGAGAAAGGGCGATGGCACCGGCGTCCCCGTAGCTGCCCCTTGGTGAAGGCTTCAGGATATGTGACATTTGCGGAATATGGAGGGTTTCATGGGAGAATCATTTGGAACTGGTCCACTAGTCCATTTTCCATAGCTATCTTGGATTAACAGAGGATAGTATAAAATAGGTGGCAGGGAGTTGAATTTGAACAAAATGAGATGATGGTTTTTGTGGAAAAACAATGCCATGTGATTAGGCATGAATCGGCATGAATATTCATTAAGATATATTAAGATCCATCAGGATTCCCAGACATTTTTTTTCTTAATTCAACAATTTCTCAATTCAGATTTTGCATCTCAAATAGGTGAATTGATGAGGTTAATCTCACCTATTCATTAAGATCCATCTCATTATTTTGCATCTCACCTATTTGAAAATCTCAAAATATCTCAAATAGGTTAAACTTCCTATCAAATTCAGAAAGAAAATCTCAGGCTTCCTCTCAGTGGAACGCCCTGAACAAGCAGAGAAGGCTGACGTGGTTTGGACCATTAAGGAGCTCAACAACCATGGGCGGCAGATGGTGCTGGTTTCATCAATGAGTGGATTTTACTGGATTTTAGATGATTTACCCTTTGGTTATGACTAACATAGCCATGGTATAGATGGCCCATAGAAATAGATGGTTTACCGAACTTAAAAATTGTGATTTTCCATGGCTATGTTAAATAACCAGATGGTAAGATGAGTTTACATGATTTTACCATAAATGTTGGCCCAAATGTATTGAAAGTTGAGAATTCAACAAAGTGGCGTCCCAAAGCCGAGCCATTGTTTTTAGCTAGGTTGGTTCAAGTAGAGATCACTGGCAAAAAGGAATGTCCTACGATATGATATGCTGATGGGTCAAGACCGGCAAAATTGCTCTAATGAATATCTTTTTGGGGGGGATTTGGATGAACATCCAGTTACCAGCCATTTTGATCCAGGGGTCTAATGGGTCTATGCCAGGAGCGTTGCATCGATAGTGCCGTGGAGAAGACTGAAACTTTCCGGGAGAAGATGGAGAAAGCCTTTCAGCGCACGACCACGGAAGCACAAAGCCGCTTCCACATGTGATGCAGCCATGAAAGCTCCGCGCAAGTGCCATGGGGGCCACATTGCAATATAAGATAATATAAGTATATATGATTATATATGCACGTCCTTTCTTAGTTTAAACCATGAAACGCGGCAGGTGTCCAAGAGATGTTAGAGCATAAAACACGAAAAAGACTTGACGGAGGTAGAGTGATGTTTTTTTTTCCCGCCCTAGGGGTCCTGAGCCAAAGCTGCTAAGCTGTAAAGGTGCGATGTTTGTCCGTCCCAAGACGGACAGGTTCGCACGAAGAGAAAGCGGCTGCTATAGTACCCCTGCAAAATGCAGGGAGCTGGAACGGGCTGTCATCCATTGAAACCTTTGAAAGAAATAGCTGGAAGATGCTGGTTGTTTTGTTGAAAAGATCAAAAACCACTGTCACATTTGGGTCTGGTAGAATACAAATTAAGATTCCATGTGTTTTCCCAACCGGACTATGACCTGCTGGCTACATGTAGACCCTAGGGAACTTGAAAGGACCACGCTGTCGAAGATGAAAGGTCAGAGGATGACGCACTTTGACAAGCAGAGTGCTCCCGAATCCATCCGCGCCCGCTGAGTCTCCTGATCCAAAGCGGAAAATGCTGGGGCAACGCCTCATGTACTCCTGTCAAGACTTGATGCTCTTGGAATCTCTGCTTTCGGGTTCATCCAACTTAAAATGCAGACAAACCAAGTAATATCAAGGAATTACTCAGTAATTACATGTAATTACACTATGTCATGTGGTATTGAGCTGATAGCAAGTCCCAAAGGTTTCGTTGAAGAGAGCGCGCCGTGCCCCCCCCAACCCCCTGGTTTGAAGGCAAGTTGGACCGCCGCACCTTTCAAGCACACTTTGACGCATTACAGAACAATGGAAGGCTTCCAAGGACCCAGTTGTTTGCACAGTAGCGCTTCGGGCACCATACATGCTGAATATGCTGAATGAATTATGATTGCCTCACCTGTGACGCCACTGGAATGATAAAACGATTCAAGGGAATCATCCGCACACGGCCATGAAATCTCCGGGTTTTTTTTCAGGTTAGTGAACCATGTGTTCGGTGCCCAAAAGCCGCCCCGGAGGTGTCTAGCGCACTGAAGTGACACCCAATCCACCAGCCCCCATGCGCCAGCATGGAGCGAGCAAAGAACCAGCCGTGACCTTGGTATGTGTATTGGATAGGGATGGATAGGGATGGATGGATAATTTCACATTAGCATAATTCTTGTATTGGCTGTAGTGGTTTGCAACTGTTTGCGTTCGATGTATATATTATAATTATACGTATACAATTGTATTATATATATATGTGTGTATAGCTTGTATCAGCTAGTTATAAGCTTTGGAACTGGGCTATGTGGTCTATATTAATAGACAAACACAATTTCATTAAGCTAATAGCAGCTAGCCATTTACCAAACTCTGGGATTATCCCAATAGTCGGACAGAATGGAACTGCACCCGCTTTCCCTCTGTTTGATTCCAGCATTGTTTTACGCAATCACTTGAAGCATAGATCCTGAGATACCTTTTTCGGTTTGATTGCGGCCAAGCAAACTCAAACTCCGTCATCCATACATTGTAGACCATTGTAGATTTTACCCTCTGGTAAACGTTTACATAGCCATTGAACATCACCATTTTTAATGGGAAAACTCACTATTCATGGCCATTTTCAATAGCTTTTTGTATGTTTACCAGGCCGGGTAATGGTTCGTCGATCCACAACATCCCGACCTTCCCCCCGCTCGGACCAATATATCCGGAGTCCATCTCCTGGGATGGTTTTTGGCGACACGGAAGCTATGGATCTTTTAAAACTCTTTGGTATTTTTCAAGATAGCGATGGAAAAAAACATCATTCTTTCAGAACGGCAACACATCTATAAATACTATTTCTATGGGCAATGTTCCAGTTCGCCATGGTATAGATGGCCCATAGAAATAGATGGTTTACCGAACTTAAACATGGTGGATCTTTCCATAGCTACATTGAATAACCAGATGGTAATATGGGATAATATCATCTAAACTGCTAGAAATAGTGAGTTTTCCCATTAATAATGGGGATTTTCCATAGCTACATTGAATAACCAGAGGCTATATTTATGATCGAAGGATGGCAAGACTTCGGGGATGTCGGCGCTACTGGCGGCGGAAGTGGAACGATTCTTGGCGAAGGCTATGAGTCAACTGGATATTCCACAAAGGATCACAAAGGAAAAGGAGATATGGTTGGTAAATGTTGGTAAATCATATTTTTGATGACAGATAGTATATCTATGTATATCTCATGACATCCCTCTAAGTAACAATATTCGGGGTGTGTCTGAAAATGCCTGAACATGAATAAATGAAGTATACCCCCAACTGGTCATTTAAATGAAGAACACGATAATCCATGGGAATTGGGTGGGATTGTGATCATTTGTGTAATGTAATATATTGTAATGTACTGTATAGTATTGCCTAGTACTCTAGTGGTCAGATTGCCGTCCCTCATGTAAGGCGACAAAGGCAGACCTGGGGATTGGGAACCTCCAGAGCCATTTTCAAACCAATTGGGATATTCTGATGGGGGTTCAGATTTCCTCTACCTTTAGGGGTGGGTTGACCCCCTGTACAATGGCGTTTTCGGGCCTCAAAATGTAAATAAAATTGACCATGCTCCCCCCCACTTTGTAGAGAACAGATTTCTTTTTGGAACCTATATTTTCCAACAAGCATTTTGTAGAGAACGGATGTTTTCAGATAGATGAGGTGGAACAGCATTTTGTAGAGTCTAATTCTTGGCATTAAGAAAAACAAAGGCGTCACTTTGTAGAAAGCCAAATCTAACATTCTTTTTGTAGAAGAGGATCATTTGTTCCCAGAAAACCTTCCACACGAACGTTTGAAGCAATGTAGCAAATACCATGCACATCAGAGGTTGAAATGCAAAAATATGACAAATACCAAGCCACATGAAAGGGAAACATGGCCAAATGTAGCAAATACCATGCAAAATGCAAAGTGACCATGCCCAAATGTAGCAAATACCATGCAAAATGGCAGGTTCTGGTTCCAAACTGTTGCAAACACAAGGCAAATGGTACCGGGAAAAAAAACCAAACAAATCCAAAACCTGAGGGAAAAAAACAAAAACTATCCTACACCCAATGTTTAGCTCATCAACGGATCAACATGGTCCAGTCCAATCTTAATCAAAGAGATTGAAACACTTTGATGCGTTTCAAACAAAATAGAACAAACCGCAAACATGCGCAGACAAGATCTCAAAAGCAGCAGGTGCTCTGAGAGTGTGGGTATCCCTGGGGAGGGCTGGATGTTAGAAAGTTCACTTTCTCTACAAAATGCTGGGTGAGTTTTTTGAAATTCCACGTTTTTTGGCAAAACATGCTCCTCTACAAAATGCATATCATTCACAGCTTCAAAAAATGATACTCATTTTTGAGGTATCTAATTTCCAGCATGCCTTTTGTAGAGCTCCATGTTTGGCCTAATACAGCATGTTGTAGACTCCTCGTAGCAGGTTGGCACTGCATTTTGTAGTGAAATGGTTGTGTTTTCTAATTTGTATCTACTCCATGGGGGGGGGGGGCAACCAACCCCCGGTAATGTAAACCGCCATATATTCTGAACATCACCTGACCCGAATCGATCGTTCATGTAGAGAGCAGTTAAACGCAACCTGCGAACTGTCCATGCAATGGTAGAGACTGCTAGAGAAATCCTAGTCAAACGATGTCCAGAGCAAGTTGTTTCAATGATATATGGAATGTGGCAGCCACCTTGTTTAGTGTGCACCAAAGATCAATATTCTTCACTGGTGATGGTCTTGATAAAGAGTCGAATTGGATGATGGGACAATTTACAAATATTTGATGGTAAAAAACCATGGTTTCCCTTAAACCAATCCATTGACATCGACTCGGTCTTGTGGATTGGCTGTCTCCAAGTTGGGCAAACCAGATTTGTTGATGGTATTGTGGCCATCACGCCCCCAAATGTGTAGCGGTAAATCGCAGGATTTGCTGGTGTTTTTTTTTGCTGGTGCACCAGGGAATCCTCAAATTCTCCATGGTGCAACAGGGAATATGGTTGATTGTTTCCATTTATTCAGCCCCATTTGGCATTGTTTGGGATGATTTCAGCCGAAATATGGACAAATTTTGATGTTTTTGTTAGCAGTTAGATGATATTATCCCATATTATCCCCAGGGATGGCTGTCTTGATATCCAGGATATCCATACTTCATAGCATTCGGATGATAAAAAACCCCTCAGGATCAGTACAGGAGCACTGTACTCGGCTCATGGAGCCGCATGTGGAGGTGGCAACTGGGGCTGGGGTAGCTACAGGTAACCCCCTAGCCATTGGTTAGGAGATTCCGATAGTTTGTTTCTATGGAAATGTGTGAAAGATCCTTGAAACTGGGTTGATTCTCCCAGTGGATTTAGACTTTGTATGACTTTGTTATCATTTGTCTGCATGGTCCGTCCTGTGGTAGTTTCACTTAAAGTTGATGGACCGAAGAAAAGGTTTGGACATCATCAGCAAGCCATCCCCGAATTGGTCGAAGGAAGCAATGAAACTGGGAACACCTACCCTCTGGTTATGACTAACAGTTCGCCATGGTATAGATGGCCCATTTATATATATAGATGGTTTACCTGGCTTTACCGTTCTTAAAACTGGTGATTTTCCATGGCAAACTGTTAGTCATAACCAGAGGGTAGCCATGGAACAATTGGGAAATCCCTCATCAATCCGTTGCATGGAACACGATGTGATCCTGATGTTTGCATTGATGGCAGTCAGACACCGTTGTTCAAATGCTGTGATGATTCTGGTTGTCCAATGGCATGGTGTTCTGTTTCTCTCAGCATCGCAAAGCACAATCCTATTCAACAAACAACCTAGGGTAAACTAGGATAGATGTGGAAAATCAACCGTTTCTCGACGATTTTCCTGAGTTAATGGTGTTTTCCAATGTGTTCCACACGTTTTTCTATGTTTGCCCTGCCCTAGTAGCCCTAGTACTGTAAATCCTCATGAAATCCCCTCTGAAAGGTAATCCCCAACAAAAATATCCTATGATATCCTATGATATTCTCATTAATCCACCATTGTTGGATTAAATCCACCACAAATCATCACAAACAGACTTGCATCTGATGATCAACCATCAGGGCATTTCCATTGTCTGTTTCACTTGGAGATTCATAGGGTCATAGGGACTCCCATCATAGCATGACCATAAATCATGGTTAAATGTGGTTAAATCCATGTCACATCCCATTGAACCAACCATTGAAAAACACCATCGGATGCCGGGTTTCCGCGGCAATCCACCGGACGCTAGGTCTTTAACGCCACAGCCATGCAGCTCCAGGGGCTATGGGAGTTGGCCAAGGCAGCATATAATGTTGGTAAAAGGTTACTTATGAGCCCCTGGGAAAATTATTGTTTTGGGTGGTCTATTATTGTTTTGGGTGGTCTATTATTGTTGGGTGGTCTATTATTGTTGGGTGGTCTTTTATTATTTTACCCACATTAATCCCAGTTGGGAACGGACAAAAGAAACTACTCACCCATGACTGACATTGGTAACCATACCACTTATAAAAATGGTGACTGGGGGATGCTGCGAATGGCATTGTTTTACCCACATACACTTAAATAAATATATATATATATATTTATACTTCCTATCATGACTTGGTGTTGGGACGGTACAATATATATATATATAGATATACATTGCTATATTATGATATATTATGATGTACTATGATCTTATATTATAACTGTGATATAGCTGAGATATAATCCCATGTTACAGCTTGAAAGGGGGCTCAACGACCCCTGCATGGTCTGGCAGTGGTATGAAGATGTATGAAGTGCGCAGCCACTCCGACAGACGTTGAAACTCCAAACCAATGAATTTCAGAAAGGATGGACCATGGAATCAACCCCACTTCTCAAATATGATAGACATTTGTGGCACCACATGTGGCTATGGATCAATACCTTCAGATACCAGCAAATACCTTCAAATACATTCAAATAATTACATCAATTTACCAGACATTTAGATGTTCACCCGGGGTACCAGGGTTTTGAAAAATCCGCATGTACCTTAAAACGAGATATGCTATTCCACAAAAATGCATAGGGCATAGGCAGAATGGGCCTTGGTTTCTGGCCACCACATGTCACCCGCACTGGCACGTTAGGCAGTCGCCAGGGCTCAAATGCTGCAAAGAGATCAGTGTCTGACGCTCCTCAGCATGACGAGCACCATCCGACGGCCCCGATGTGGACGGATAGTGATCGCATTTCTGGTTGCAGCACGGTGGATATCCACCAGCTATGTCCCGACATGGTGGAGACAAGGATGGCCACGAAAACATCTTGACAGCCTGGCTGAGGGCAAACTATTGGCACCTTTGGCAGATTTGTTGATGCCACAAATGCCAATTCGGGAGCTTTTTCGGAGCTTTCCAGCCCCGCAGGATTGGGGTGGAGGGTCTTTACAACCAGATTTGGCAGCACATGGAGTTCTGAGGAAGAAAGATGCAGCGCTGTTTGTGGAGTATGATGGTTACTATCGGCATGGGGAAAAGGCAGGTGTTTTGAGGGATGAGGCAAAGAATGTTGCACTGCTTTCGTTTGCTCCTGAGGGGTCGCTTGTGATCCGAATAAGCCACGCCAGAAAGAGTGCATTGAAGGGCAATGTGTTTTGGATACATGTTGGCCCATGGCGTCAGAGTGACAGAAAGTCCCTTTCCAAGACATTGCAAATGATTTTGCAAAAAGTAATGAATGCTGCAGGCCAGCTTTTCCACCCAGATGTAGTGAGACGAATCCAGCAAGCCTTGCAGCAAGAAAAAATCCCCGTTTCTGTGAACGCTTTGGACTTCATGAACGAGGCAAGATTGCCCGGATGCGGCAACACGACGGCAGAAATCTCTCAATTTCTGATTAATTATGGGTTTTCGGTCCGAGATACAGGCTTGATGAGCGTTGCTGGTCTGAATGGTATGTCCATAGCAGAAGCGCTGCAACCAGGGATTCACTGGCTCATGAGCTTGGGGCTCACAAGACATCAAGTTGCAAAAGTTATAGTTTGTTTTCCTAAAGTGCTTGGCTCTAGCATCGAAAGGAACTTGCAGCCAACAGTACACTGGCTAATGTCCTTGGGGCTCAGCAAGGGTCAAGTTGCAAAGGCTGTAGGTAGTTATCCCTGCGTGCTTGGCTTGAGCATCGAGCAGAACTTGAAGCCCACAGTGCAATGGCTAACGTCCTTGGGGCTCAGCAAGGGTCAAGTTGCAAAGGCTGTAGGTAGTTATCCCAGCGTGCTTGGCTATAGCATCGAGCAGAACTTGAAGCCCACAGTGCAATGGCTAATGTCCTTGGGGCTCAGCAAGGGTCAAGTTGCAAAGGCTGTAGGTGGTTTTCCATCCTTGCTTGGCTATAGCATCGAAAGGAACTTGCAGCCAACAGTGCACTGGCTGAAGTCCTTGGGGCTCAGCAAGGGTCAAGTTGCAACTGCCATTGTTATTAAACCTCAATTGCTTGGCTACAGCCTTGAAAAGAATCTGAGACCCAAGTATGATTTTTTGCGGCGTAGCTTTGGTGTGCCAGGTACTGCGAGCTTGATCGCTAAACGGCCCACGGTGCTTGGATACAGCATGCTTCGAGTTGCGAAACGGATGAACATTCTCGCAAGACGCAATATGACTGCCAAATTGGCCAGTTACATCGATCTTACTGAGGCCAGATTTCGGAAACGTTTTTCTGATTGATGTCACATGGGTACTATGAAGGCTTCTCGATTCATGCCTGCTCGGAATGCTACTTTGTTTTCTTTCCCATTATGGCAAGACATAGCATTGTCCGTGCCGTGCCTGGGCTTGCGTGCTGCAATTTGAGCAAGCAGTCAGAAGAAACGTACAAACAGAGCCATGGTATTATTTGCAGTTGGGGATTTTCTTGTGTTTGAAAGGCATTTGGGACACCTTGGCACCCTTACAACTCCTGTTGCAATGTTGGATGTTGGAGTGTCATGTTTGCTTGCAAATGTGTTGAATACATATATATTATTGGGTTCAGGACTCAGCCTGTTGATCAAACCACCCACATTCACTGTGATGAAAATGTTGGAATGGAAGCAACAGATGTCAGTGCTACAGTATTGCCACTGCGAAATTGTGGAATACCTGAATTCGAACTAGTGGAGGGGCAACGCAGGTGAAAAAAAATGCGGAAAACGGCAAATATGTTTGCAAGGGCATTAAATTTTCTTGCAGATTCTAGCATCCCTTGAAATTATTTTGCGCGGCTGAATTTAAATGATGCTAGCCTGGTATATTTCAACATATTCAACACTGTGCTGGCATCTGCTTCCAGGGCCCTTTGTTGGAAATTGCAGATAAGGTGGAACTGGTCGCACCATGTCACCATACTAGCCCGGTAGGGGATGACAGCTCTGCAGGGCAACAGTAAGAAGTTGGTTCAGATGAATCATGTTGGCACCTCAGCAACTTCAGATTTCCGGCTCAGCAGCTCAGCAGCTGAAAGATTTGTTGAAAGATTTGTTGAAGAAGTAAGTTAAGCCGAAGATGCAGATGATGTTTTAAGATGCATTTGAATACTGTTGGGTATTGCGCAGTTTCGGTCTTGGAGGCCAACCGAAACTGAGCCAGTTTTTGAGTGAAGGCAGATCCATCGCCCAAGGCCCTTCGAGATATGCAAGAAGGACTCCTGAAGATTGAGGATTTCCGTGCGTGATCCCAGTGTTTTTCTTGTTTTTCAAGCTGACTGGAGCCTGGTTGACTGGGTTTTCTCAACAGAATGTGCCGTGGTGCTTTGGATGCGGCTTGTTGATCTTGTTGGCTTGCACCTAAGGATCCGAACTTGATAGATATGAAACAAACCTGAACAAGCAGGCGTGGTTTTGGGGGCATACATTAGACTCATCCAGGTTGCTAGTTCCCCAGAAGGGTACTTGTGGTAGCAACTTCTTCAAGTGCCACTAGAGGCCCTGAAACCCGACCACTGCAATGATTGACCGGAATCATATGGGTCATTCCCCAACATGCAGAACAATCACAGGTTTGATCTAACTTCACATCGACAGGAAACCCTGGATTTTCACCATCCATCGCACGGATTGCTGTAAATTTGTTCTCAACGAGTGAGACAGTGAGGGGGAAGACAATGTGCCCTTTCTTGCCGTAATTTAGTAGCCAAATTCGTAATCTGATGAACATGGGTTTTTGCTTAACACTTTGGGTGACCTACGGATACGGTATGTACCATTCACATCACTTGTTTGTTATGACTGAACTCTCCAACTTTGGTGAATTCTGCAGTTTTTGTGCGGTTTGAATCCGCAAGGGCAGTGATATGGAGAGCTTGGTGGAACGCTTCGAGGCTTTTGGCGAGTTCTGTGTCATGTTTTTCGGCTTTTCCTTGGGAAAAACATCGAAGAAACATGGAAAAACATGCAAAAACATGGAAACACAATGGTTGTATAGTAGATAATTATGACGTATTAATGTGCAACGTAATATATTTAATCCTCTATGAATGGAGAAAAAACAATATATATACTGTAGTAACCCCCAATAATAATGATCGATATAATGATTAATAGTGATTTACAGTAATGTAGGAAACGCTGGATGCCATAAAGAACTCCCATGACTGGGGATGGTTTATAGAGCACATAAAACTTGTGATTTTTTGGTGGTTTATTATTGGGTTTACCACATGAGGAAAAACTGGGATACCTTTATTAGCTGCGTCAACCTTGGATACTTAAAGATATACCTTATAACAAGTGATGGCCTATTTGTGTGTGGCCACCCTTGGTATATAGGAACTATATGGGAAAATAGAGGAACTATATGGGAAAATATTGGAACTATAAACAAATATGTTGGAACTAAAAGAAAGAAATGCAGGAACTTGAAAAGACTGGGTTGTGCTGAAAGAATTGCACTTAGGTTCAGCCTTTTAAGTTGGCACAAACACTTACAGAGATGTGGGCATTCATACCCCCCAACCCCAGGATCAATGATGATGTTGGAACCAAAATCATAGAATTATAAATAGCCGGCTTATGTTCTAAAATCTATCTAGGTAGCTTTTTCAAAAGATATGATATAACGTATGTATATACTTGTATACACATATAATGATGTATTGTATTCATATAAAATACATATGTAACAATTATATGTATGTATATATATATACATATTCTAATGCAAAATCAAAACATATATAGATATAGATACTGATATATTTAGGCTAAAACAACGCAAGAATCCAGTTTTGCGGGAACGGTCGCGACGGTTCCCGACTGTAATCTTGAATACAGCGTGGAGCGATTGCGACGGTTCCTACACTATATCGTTTTTGCAGTTTCCAGGAACGGTTCCGAACGGTCGCAGACGGTTCCGGACTATATCCGTTTTTTAAGGGCTATAGCATGGAACGGTCGCGACGGTTTCCGACTGTAATCTTGAATATGGCATGGAACGGTCGCGACGGTTTCTTTCTTGTAGCACGGAACGGTCCTGACCCCTAAATCATATGTTTGTTTCTCTCGTTTTATCTATGATCCAAATATTTTTTCAAAACATATTAGTTTCAAATTTTCAGCTAAAAGCTACAAGTTGTAAGCTTTTCGTGTACGACGTGCTTTAAAAGTTGTTTTGATATATGCGTTGGCGCGGCCGCATAATATAGTAATTACCATAATTCAGTGGTATAGCCAAAATAGTATAGCCCACAACAACCCACCCAAAATTCCTTTAAGAATATGGGTGGGATGGAAATCATCAGCAACATGAACAAATCTGCAAGTTGGTTCCTGCCAGTGATGAAAGAAATGCATCATCGATGTCCTTGGTGTAGCTGTGGGGGATCACCCGGAAAAAACAGCACAGGGAAGGAGGGCCCCGTGACTTAAATCAACGCGCCCCTCGATTCCAAAAACCAGGCAAATTCCAAATCTGGTTTTCCATGCCCAAACGGCTTCTGTATCCCTGGGTCTCTTCAAAGCTCTTCCGGCTCAATTTCTGGCCCCGTAAAGCCACATGTCAACCATACCCCTCCAATGCCCAAAAATGGAACCGTAGAAACCGTCGCGACCGTTCCTGGGGTCTGAAAATTGCAAAAAATTGGCTAGGAACTATACAGAAATATGGAAAAACTTCAGGAACTGTATGGAAAAATCTCACGGGCTATATTGGAATGCACTAACTGCCTGGCAAATATCAATCTTCAAATTCGCATGCCCTCTGAACATCTTCAACTACACCCCACTTTGATCTAAACGTCACTTTCCAGCACATGGGGTACGCCAGTTCTGTGGTTGTGGGTGAGCAAAAACAGCCCCATGCCGACTCTGAAAGCTAGAAACTCTAAACTTCCAACTTTGGCCTTCCGATCTGACCTGTTGTTTCCTTTACTTAACTTGAATTTTGATCCACATCACCACATCACCACACCACCACCACCATCATCATCAGCAGCAGCAGCAACATCAGCAACATCAGCATCATCAGCATAATCAGCATCACCACCATCATCATCATCATCATCATCGTCCTCATTCTCACCCTCATCCTCATCCTCTCCTCATGGTCATCATCGTCATCCTTGCTCATGGCTCTTCCTCACATGTCACATAGATCACAGGTCGTAACAAACCGTGCAGCAATCACGATACAGGCGGGTACAGTCCAGTTCAATTTTGGATGAAATGTTGCGTGTCATTGTGCGTTGTATGTCGTCAATGCTTTCCGTACCCCATTCTGCCAGCGAGGTTATTTCATCCAAGTTATTATGTAAAATTCAGCGTTTGCAGTTGGTTTGATACGTGGTGGTTTTGAAAAGGAAAAGTAGTTCCGATTCAGATTTCAAACTTGTGACTTGTCAAAGGTGTCAGGTTATCAAATTGAAAAACCGTTTAGTACGATAGTAAGAGTAATAACATTTTTTTCAAAGAAAATATTGCTACAATCATTATAGTATATCTATCAGTTTTTGAGTAATATAGTAGAGTGTACAACCGCGCATGCTCGGCCATTCAGAAGCGCAGAAGCCAGGAACATGTATCTAGCCATGTGGCGGTATGCAATAGTCAGATGTAGGAAAGCATTCCCAAGTATCATGCACATATCATGTGCAGCTTCCAATGCATAAGTTAAGTCTCAGTCACAGTCACAGCTCATAGTTGTCCCAAATCCAAAATAGTTCCTGAAGCATTCAATATGGTTTCTGAAGAATTCAATATAGTTTCCAACATCCCATTTGGATACGTCACAAACCCCTGGTTAAATAGGCCAACCCTGGTTATAAGATATACCAGTCAATGGTGATTTCCAAATGGCTACATTTATATACTGTATATACTATAGATATCTATAGATGATCTCAAGGATTTATGATTTCCAGTCCCAGATGGCCCAAGATTGGATGACTGGTTGGGGAGGTCATTTTTGTTGGAACCATCATCTTTGGGGTGATGAGATGGGTTGAAAGCGCCAACCAGGATAGGTACTAGATGGGTCAACCTTAGGTTTCTCCAGCCTTCATTGGATACTTTAATACTTTAAAACTTGAATCGTGTGCTATAAATGCGGATAAAATATGGGGGTTTCCATAAATGGTGGTATCCCAAAGTGGTTGGTTTATAATGAAAAATCCCATTAACATGGATGATTTAGGGGTAATTAGCCCCATTTCAGGAAACCTCCATTATGAAGGTAAGCGATTAAAATGTTGGGGCCCATGGTTCCGGCTGGCCATTGCGGGCACCCTTGATCTACCTTGTAGGTTCAGCTCGCTCAAGTGCGATTCTTTACGTCGCAGAAGGACCTGTTATTGCTGTACTTTGATGCACCTGGACGGGAGAGGCAAAAGCCCAGCAGATTTGGGGATTTCAAAAGGGCCCATCTTCCAAGTCATAGAACCACATAGAAACACCATGGACGCGAGTATGGAAAATGCTCTCTTGGTTTGCACAATATACAATATGATAATTATATATACATATAGTATATGCTATGTGCTTGAACCGAGACAATTGTGGTCCATTGTAGGAATACCTACTATGCGAAGATCATTGCAGAAAATGGAAAAACCTGTTGTTCAAATATTCGGAGAATGATGGAGGGGAAAGTGAAACAGGAAGCCCGTTTCTATTTGCGGTCAAAGTAATTAACCTGATTTCAACCCTTTCTTTTCTTTTTTCCTTGAAATCAAGCCATTGAATGTTATATATGTGTCGACACACTACGACCATTACTGTAAACGGTTAAATGTTCCTATCTTCCGCAGTTCAATGGTTCTATTCCAATGATCCAAACTGATCGTCTCTGAGATCTCGACGTTTCAAAAACTCGAAGGAAGAGGCCTACCTACAGCACCGCAGTGCACTGGACTCCCTCCGGCGCAGCACTCAGCCATTGAGTCATGGCCAGGACTTAGTATAGCTTGAGCCATGGTGACGCCGATCCCCCATTTGAAGAGCCCCCCAAAGAATTCAAAATAAATCATTTTTTTTGGAGAAACCCAATTTTGACTCTGACTACATCGATGTTGCCACGTCACCTCGAGGCATGACTTGACGCACTTGCAGAGCGTCTGGCATGTGTTTCTCTCTGTTCGTGATTTCAAGGGTTTCATACGTCCAGTCCCAAGATGTCCCAAGATGTCCCAAGATGTCCCAAGATGCCTCTCCCAAGATGTCCCAAGATCGAATTGAATGACTGGTTGGAGGTTTCAAATTGTGATGTTCCATCCCTCGGATGAGACTGATTAGACCAGCTCATTAATTTGTGTCAGGAGGTTGAAAGCGCAAACAGTTGAAAGTGCAGATCAGAAGTGGTAAAGTTTGCCTTTTGGGATACGAAAGTCAAACATGCTGCTGACCTGTGATGAGTTGTCATGTTTCTGGTGCTCTTTGGGGTCGGGTGTGTCTGAAAATGGTCGCTTGTCCCCAGTATAGCAATTTTCATGGGGCAAATTGACACATGACACATGATAAAACTATCAGATTTGGGGGTACCCTATTTTCAGACAAAGCTCCTCAACACTATACATGCGGGCTTTATGAATGGTGCTGCTGAGGATGTGCATTGAATGACAACCTTCTCCCTGTGCCAGGCAGCTGCATGAGACTTCCAAAGAGACCCTCTTCAAGAGCGATACGGCTCAGTGCATCGGCCACGTGGGATGATGGTAGCAGATTTGGAAAGCATTCATAGGAGTGTACCCCTTGGTTCTGGCCAAGTGTCCTTCAATCATGTTTTTAGTAACACTATATATTCATTTTTACAAATTCCATTTATTTAGCATTGTTTTACTTAGAACTTTTTATATTTATCTTTACCTCATCCATCCAGACGTGGGGACTGAGATCGTCCCTTTCTGTTAAAAAAGTTCCCACGTGAAATATGTGTTTAATCGCTGTTTGCGATGTGTTTTTGAGGGTGCCCAATTCTGGGAAGAAATGGTAAATGTTACGCATACATTCTATACGTATGTGTATACATATATATGCTAGAATGTTGGTTGTTACGATTTGATGATGGTGTTCAATGTTTCATCCCTTGTTTTTAACGTTGTTTGTGTGGTGTCTATAATAACCACCTACTCCCCTGAGCTTCCCTTTTACCCTGTTTGCCCCGCGACATATCCATGTTGACCCCTTGGCTAAGCGCTCATGGGATGTTCTTTAGGAAACCATCCTTGAGACTCTTTGCTGTAACCTTTGGATGAAAGGTAGCTAGTTGTGGTCAAACATGACAGCTGGAAATTCCATATTATGTATAGATGGCTTTTCCTATTTATCAATTATAAAGCTATGTTTCAATTGGACAGCATCTATACTGTACATATATCTCTAATACTTATATAGGTTCCTATCCGTCAAAAAATTGATTTCCTAGGTTTCAATGTTGTGATTTCCAGAAGCTATGAAGCCTTTGGTCAATCAACGGACGTCTCTGGGTCCCCAGGCATTGAAAAGTCCTTGCGCGAGGTGCCACTTCAGAGATGGCAGATATGGAGAGATGGACATGGACCTAGCAGAGAGACACCCCGGTTCAGAGGTGTATACATATAGAATAATCAGAACAATAATAATAGTATAATTAATAGTATAATTAATAATAGTATACTTAATAAAAGTATAAGAATAGATAATAATAGTATATTAAATAGTATCATAGATAATTAGTACTAATAAAGGTTGGTTGATGTCTGGGATTTCGCAAAAGATCTGGGAAACACGGTGGAATCATCGCCAAAAATGGCCGCCAAACCTCTACGCGGAATTTCAGGTGGCTCCTATGAAAGCAGAGCTGGAGGCAGGAAATTCGAAAGGATGCATGTCTGGGTAAATTATAACGAGCTCACTGCGACCTCACTGGAAATCATGGTTAGTAAGGGAAATCAAGGGAAATCATCCCCAAATGGCCGAACTATTCAGGTTCGTGAAATATTATAATTTACCCAGATGTGATCTGTTTGATGATTCCTTCCAGTAGAATCTATCAGAACCAATCACCAATCAAAAGTTTTGATGATTCCTTCCAGTGAATCATCCAAACTTTTGATTGGTGATTGGGTATCAAAAAAGGTTTTGGCCTTTTGATTGGTCTTTGGTTACCTTTTTTAAGAAGAAATGATGAAAACTGGGCCGGTGGGCCGGTGGGCCCCCCTGGTCCTATGGCTGGGGTCAGGATTCTAAGCCCTGTTTCGCGAGGCCAAAATGGCCAACTTGCAGCTGCAACACCACAGTCTCACTGACCAGGTGGGATGACTTGCAGCAGCTTTGTGGAAAACCCATGGAAAAAAAACAAAAGAAACGCGAAATCCAAGGGACAACCATGGAGAACGCTCAAGATCTGAGGGAAAACCATAGGAAAAACACATGGTTGGTGATCATTATTCCCCATTGCATGGCGATGTATACCACGGCCCCATGGACTCAGACATACCATGACACGCCCAGATGATTCTGGGCGACCGTGAGCCACAGCAGTTGCTGGTGAATTTCAAATATGTTCATCTCCATGTCGAAGATCTCTAAGAATCCCTAGGCATGCGAGTAGGATCCCAGTAAACCCATCAGTTTACTGATCTTTCTGGCTTTTTTGACCGTTTCAAGCTGATCCCATTTGCCTTCCGCTGAGGTTTGGGGTAGCTGGGGTCTCAGCATTGGCTGCTGCAAATTCGCATCCCAGGGTCTCCGTGTGCGGTGCGAGGTGAGACTGCCATTGCCCGAATCTCTGGCGAAGTGAAAAACGTTCACCAGCGCTTTGACGCTGTGGCGGAGGTGCACAACCACAGTACTATAGTACTGATAGTTGTTGGTATCCGAAACATCATGTTGTGGCAGTTAGTTGTGTATTGTGTTGTATATAGGATTATGTAATGTAGGCTGGTTGGTGATTGTTGGTGGTTTCAAACGTGTTTGTTATGTTTTTGTTCTAAGTTCTCAACGTTGTTCAACCATAACTGGTTGGTGGTTCCAAACATTTGTTATTTTTCCATGATATATGGGAATAATATGGGAATCATCCCAGCTGACGAACTCATATTTTTCAGGGGAATAGGTATACCACCAACCAGATAAACATGCTACGATGATCCCCAGGCAGCACGGGCTCAACCGCCTGGCTCAGCCTCGTAGGTGGTGAACGGCTTGACGGACGAGAAAGACTGCCGTGAAAAGTTGGGGCCTCAGTGGTGCCGCCCTGGTGATACATGGAAGGCCATGGAAGGCCTAAAAAAACAGAGATTAGTCAGGTGTTTTGTTTCTGTGGAATTATAATGTATAGTTTTTAAATATATGTATATATGAATTTATATGATATTATATGATTCGTATTTACATGAAATGTTGTGTAATTAATATTAGATAATATACTATTATGTTAGCGTTTTGTTTTAATGAGTATCCAATTTTGACCCCCAAATGCCTTGAAAGTTGCAATGAGTGGTGATGAAAATATTTCATCCCTTGGTATGGTGTCTTGGAACATGGTCATGAGTCATGACGGTCAATGATCCTGATTCCGATCGTACTACAGCCTTGCAGCAGTGTCTCCTTTGCTGGCTTTTCAAATCGCCTTCAATGGTCCCTTTTCAGGTTAGAAGAGATGCAAAAAGAATTGGCAGATTGGTCCGACAGCCCAGTCCCACACTCCCACACTGTGAAACGCATCCTTTGTTTGAGAGCTTGAGACTCATGTTGACAGCCGTGGACAAGGAATCGGAATTGCCCTTTGAACTCAGAGAAAACCAAGATTTCCAGCAATAAAGCATCAATTAATCCAGGGGTTTTCCCAGTAGTTTTCCCACCTGTGGCATCTGACCACAGCCTTCAGCTGGTGCTTCCCTGGGAAACCAGGCTGAGTCAGTCGCGATATGAGGAGCGACCCATTCCCGGCTGGAGCTGCATAGTGTCGGATCACCCATCCAATATGAGTTATCTACGATTAAGATGTCATTAAAATTAGTGGTTTTGACATGTTTGTAACTATACCAGTGTTCAACATTTGGTTGATTTAAACTATACATAGTTTATACCATGCCATTAATAAGATTGAACACCTCCACATGTTTAATAAGGTGTTCAATCTTCTGTCAGAGTTACCAAAGCTCAAAACATCAGATTGTGGATGAACTCGGGGAAACCAACAGCTTTCAGCCAGATGAAAAATCCACAACCATGGGTTTGTCTGAAAATAGGGAAGCCAAAATGTGAAGATTCCTTTCCCATTTTTGAATCGGCCGATCATTTGTAGGTATCCACCATTTTTGGACACCATATCCCATTAAAAAGTCCTACTTAAGTCCCATTTTCAAGTCCTAAGCCCCTGAAGTCCTTTTAAAGTCCCATTTAGAGTAGCATTATGAATCACCAGTAAAAACATGTAAAAACTATGATTTCACAAGTCCCATGATTTTTTATTAAAGTCCATTGAGATCCCAGCAAAAAATCCCATGAATATGTCCACCATTTTTTCATATTAGTCCCATTAAAATCCTATTAAAATCCCATTAGTTTCAGCACTAAGATCTTCCCCATGACAGACGGGAACGAATCCCGTGGAAAAATCCCATCCGAAAAAGATGGCACCGAACGCAGGCCGTCTCCACTCGGAAGGCTGGGACCAGACTCCCGCTTGTCTGTAGATGTCTATAGATGTCTAAACTATATATATTTATATGGTGTATATACATATATAGTTCGTATATATATATATTTATTTATTTATTTATAGAGTGTATATATTTCATATATACAGTATATATAGTATGTATATATATATACACATTATATATGTATGTAATTATTTATATAATGGATTATGCATTGTATATTGTAAAGTTGACTATTATTACTGTAATGGATCATTATCGTTGGTGTTGTCCGTTATAATCCATATCTATGACTATACAATGTAAAGTGTAGAGTGTGCAGTGTAAAGTGTGGAGTATACAGTGTGGAGTGTCAGGAGTGGAGTGTAAAGTGGGAATTGGGGAGTGTGGAATGTGGACTGTAAAGTGTTTTTAGTGTGGAGTGTAAAGTGTAATGGGAACAATAGCATGATCAGCATGATATCATGAGAATGATTTAATTTGACAGCTTGTGGCCAATTCTTGTTTGTGTTTCTATTTTTCTTAACAAGACCGTACTTGACCAGCAACAATGGGCACTACCAGGCACCATCTGGGCCATTTCCGGATCAGCCACCCTGGTCGGATCAGCCCACACCTAGTAGGTATTGTGCAATAAAAGAGTGAACCAAACTAGACAAAACCAGCAGGCAAACTCAACGAATTGTTTTCCTATTTGCACCATTTTGCACCTATGTTTATTTGTTGGAGGTTTGTTTGTTTGATTTTGCTTGTGCAAAACTGTGTCTGTAAGCAAGATGTGAGATCGTGCGTCATGCTTTGTATGACTCTTGCGCCTTGAAGAAATTAGAGTGTTTCAAGCAATCCCGCGCCATGAATACCTGAGTATGAACCCCCATAGGATACCTCCATAATTTTATTTTGTTGGTTCTAGATTGCATGCATGGATTGTGGAGAGTGTGCAATGTGGTGTGTGAAGTGTGGAGTGTGGAGAGCAGAGGGCGGAGTCTAATAAAAGGTGAGGAGTGTAGAGTGTGGAGTCTGAAGTGTGGAGTGTAGAGTGTAAAGTGTGGAGTGTGTAGAGTGTAAAGTGTAGAGTGTGGAGTGTAAAGTGTCGAGTATACAAACTGTAGAGTGTAAGGTGTGGAGTGTAAAGTGTGGAGTATACAAACTGTAGAGTGTAAGGTGTGGAGTGTAAAGGAAACTATACAAGTAAGATTGTAACCCACTTTTTCACCCATTATCATTGCTACTCACTTCCGTACTTTTGACGGATCAGTATGACATGGATCAAAAAATGTACTATAGTCTACACTGATTAGATTTCTATAATATAGTCTACATTAATCATGGATTATCATGGTACGAGGTGCCCTCAAGATAGCTAAGTTGGTTTATAACTATGGTTTATAGGTGATATATCGAACTAGTTAATGGGGTTTATAAACCATTTTATAACTAGGGGGCACCACCTTGTTATTTTAAAGTTGATGATTCGTTGACTCCAGGCCTTCTCTGCTGCCACGGCTGCGAACAAAGAGAGCATCCGCATCGGGTGCGCGTGGCCCAAAAAGACAACGGAAACGGACAGTGGGTGGATGGGTTACTTTAGAATTTGAAAAGGATATCTATCCCATATGCTCCATGGTTCTGGAATATTGATCTACACTTTGGTGATGTTTATCGATTTTTTGGGCAAATATGGGCAAATGCTGGTAAGTATTCCATACATGGAGTATCGATATCTTGTAATTTCGAAAAACACGAAAATGATTAAATGAACATGTTTTGTTTTTTGGCTGGTTGATGATATATTTTCGGTGTCGACGACTTACCTTTTTTCCTGGGGATTATCATGATCCATGAGTTGGAGATATCAATGAACCAACCATTTACAAATTCCCGGGGCCGTTTTGGGACAATGTTAAATTCGGTATGACCAAAACCTGGAGATGAATAATTACCTACCATACTATGCCCCCAGTTCCAAGTTGGTTTTTAAAAACCCATAAAAAACCCATTAACTATAGTCGTAAGTATCATGATCCAAAGTTATTGGAATGATGTTCACCAACTTCGCCAACTCCAACGGGAGCCTCACTCGCTGATCCCCGTTGTGTTCCATGTGACTGTGGGGATGAACATCTGCCAACTCGAACGGGGACGCAGGTTGGACGCAGTTCTGTCCTGAGTTGGACGAGAGTTGGGCGATGGGCACTATATAGAACTATAGTTGATGATAGTTTTCAATGATTCTTTTTTGTCAACATCCAGACATATCCAGATACCCTGCCCTGCTGTTTACATCAAAATCATTGGTAGATGTTGGTAGCTTTTTTGGTTCCTCCCACCCATTCAATCCCATTCATATAGGATATAATGTACAATATAATGTATATACCCATCCCCAAATTTCTTGGAGCTGGTACCAGACACATAAAACGGATTTCGGCGTTCGTTTTTTACTAAGGCAGGAAATCAAATTGCCAATTTCATGGAAGAGATTCGTCGGGGCCTTTAAGGATCCGTCAGGAGAGTGAGGTGAGCATCGTAGTTTCATAGTAATTATTAATCATACGTACGTACTTTTTTATGTAACGATATGTGCGAATTTGTATTAGAATTATCTGATATTATATATTGAATTATATAATATTATATAATATATATATATATAATTTTTATATATACATATAATAAGTGCCCTGCGCGAGGAGAAGGACATCCACTGGGTCCAACCACTTGTTTCTCATAACCACAACAGAGTCCCCATGGTCACCATGGACTCTGAGGGATGGACAACCAAAAGATCCTCAGCGACACGGAGAAGCTGCGAAGAGAGACGGAAGACATTTGCGAGAAATTCAGGTGGACGAGCGGCGTACTTTTGGGGATGGCTTCAATCCCTAAGGATCCATGGTGCTGGAATATTTACCTACATTGGGATTATTTCAAATTACTTTAGGGGTCAATGTAGGTAAATATTCCATACATGGATCCTCTGGGAATGCAGCAAGTGATATATCAGACCTACCAGGTGGTTTTTCCCCGTTCGTCGTTGCGTTCAGTTGGTGAACATAACTCCAAGAACTATATGGTATAACTATGGTTTATAGGTGATACATGGTGATATATCATTGATATATCATTGGTATATCGAAGTAGTTTTCATGGGCTTCAAAAACACCAATTAACATCACGAAGTTTTTTGAACATCACCTTGCAGAATCTTCAGTACTGTACACCATAGGTAGAGGTTGATATTCACCCCGATTGACTGACCCCTTGATCATCGACATGAAACCCCAGCTGGTTGGTGGTTTTTATTTTTCCATATATTGGGAATAGTAACCCCAACTGGCTCATATTTTTCAGAGGGGTAGGTATACCACCAACCAGAGCTACATTAAACCCCAGCCTTGACCTTTATGATCTGTTGATACATAGACGATATTGATACCATCTGGTTATTTAACATAGCCATGGAAAATCACCATTTTTAATAGGTAAACCATCTATAAATGATTATAAATGGGTCATTTTCCATGGCTATGTTAAATAACCAGGTGGTATATCGTAAATGAACGTATCCATACTGGCCGCGCACGGCGCAGGGGAGAGATGGGTGAGATGTACATCCACCGGCAACAGTCGGACGAACGAAATGAGGTGCCGACCTGGGCCCATCAGATTTGTTTCGCTGGTGGTGAAACACCTAGTTCCCATAGGATCCATGTATGGTATATATGCTAACATTTGGGGTATATTGATGGTAAATGTTACCATATATACCATACATGGATCCTATGGGCTAGTTGTTTTACTGAGCTGATGATTTGTTCGGGTTCGAATTCGAAAGTTTGATCAAGATGATCAAGATTTAGGGGACCAAAATATCACAAAAGACATGCGCGTGTTAGCAAACCTTCGGCGTTCCTACATTTGACAATTCTTTTTGGATTTTGTTGGACACCTTTTTTCTCTTGGTGAAGACATCATTGAACAGAGTGGAGTTTGTAGCATCTCTTGGTGCCAGGATCTGTTTGGACAGGAGATCATGTTCAGAGATAAAGGAAGGAGAAGACGTTGCATTGCAGTCTGTTCAGATGATTCATTGATAAATCAGTCTTCAACAGACTAATCATTCTGCCAAATTGTTTGGGAGGTTTTGTTTGTTGGCATTCATTCCCTCAACCAAAACACTTTCCCATATCAGACCGCCACTCAACCAGGCAGTCCAAAGAGAGCTGCGTGAGGTAGGGGGAACTGGGATCAGTTTTCAACAAAGAAACATGATTAACAGTTGGGGAATTTAACCGTCACACACACAACAATCAATGGTTGTGGTTTTATGTAGTTCTATATACTGGGATAGAGTGGGATGTAGAACCAACAATGCGATTTGGGTGTGTCCTGAGAATGGCAAATGCACGATCGAACGGGTGCGTATCCTTTTTTCAGTCATAATAAATTAGTATTTGACAAAACATAGACTGATATTTGACTATGGTGACTGATCATTTTTTAGTCTCCAAATTAGATTCACATCATGACTTCGCTGGCCAAAATTAATATGTGGAATCAAATGGAATCAAGCAATATCGGCCGCATGGGGAAATGACAGGTCGGAAAAAATGCCGGCAATTACATGATAAAAAAACGATCGCCCGAAAGTTTGCCAAGCTTAATGTCAGCCAGTTGGCATAGCAGGGGATGAGCCGGTAGATGTGCAGAGGAGTCTTAAATGGGTAATGACACATGTTTTAAAATTTTATAGAATGTTATGCCCTCTGGTAAACGTTTACATAGCTATGGAAAGATCCACCATGTTCAATGGGTAAATCCATGTAAATCCACTATTTCAATGGGTCATGTTCAATAGCTATGTCAGCTACCCTCTTGGGTCGATGGAATCTCCCCAGTCGCTGGGGAGGCTTTGAATGAGTACGATCGACGGCGAAAGCGAGGAGCTCACAGAATCCGATGACTTGGGGGGAACCACAGGGCTGTTGGGCTGTTAGCTCTACGGTACCCAAAATGGTTATGTCGAAATAGCCATTGAAGCCATGGCCCAGTCGAAATGTCGTGAGTTTTCCCATGAAAAATGGTGGATCTTTCCATAGCTACGTTAGTTTACCAGAGGGTATACGGTATGCCATGGGATTTTTATATGGATTTCATAGGTTTTTTTTATGGGAGAACAATAGAATTTAGCCAATAGTTGATAGTTGGGTATGCCGGAAATAGATGGAAATAGGGGATACGATAAACCAAGAGTTTCAATTTCAATGGGAAGATTAAATTGCGATAAACCGCTGGGTTTTAGTTTTTCCCTTGTGGCGATGTTCAAAACGCGCCCTCACCGGCCGATGTCACCATGAATAATGGCCATAGCATTGGGGGAAGCATCCCCAGTCCCAAATTATCCAGACTTATCCAGATTTGGGAGATGTACTCAAAGCCTATGAAACCCGTTTCCGGTGCCAACTATGACAATGATCCCATCGTTGGCGGCGTGGTCTATCCTGAGGCGAGAAAAATCCACGCTGGAGTTGGAGATGAAGGCGCGGCGCGATGCGGCGCGTGCGCGGAGCGTGGCTTGAAATGGTCAACATGTAAGGCCCAGCGATGGTATGTCTGGTACCAAATTGTAACGAAATTTGACGAGATATCAGCTATGGCTTTCTCCAACAAACGTGACCCCAAAAAAAGGAAAAGATGATCCTGAAAAAAAAACATGTTTCCCATCAGACTAAGTCTGCTGCGATGATCCCAATCAGCACTGTATTCAAAAAATGATGAGTCACGATAGTGATTGGATTGGAGAATGAAAATTGCAGTGTCCCATTATGTCCCATTCCCGGAGTATCCAGAAGCCAATTTTTGATCATTCACAATTGTTCTGCATTTAGCCAAGCTTATCCCAAAGTTATCCAACATTGGCATGTTCTTGTAGATGCGTTGGGAAGCAAGTAACCGAGTGTCGATGGAGGAAGTGGGACAGCAGCTCTCCATTCTACACGACTCGGTGGAGGATGCCGTTCAAGGCGGGGCCCTGCGGTTTGAAATTTGTCCAGAAAAGGACGCCTCAAACTGATTATTAATGATATGAGTAAAGATTTTCGGTATATTATGTTTATGCGTGTTGGATGTATGTTGGTTCAGAAAACAGAATGAACATGAATGAACGCTCTATTTTTTCCAGACTTGTTGCTGTTCAAAAAAAATCCAGTCACAAAGCGGTGAGAGAAAAAAACCACCCATCCCACGGTCGGTTGCCTCGTGCGATTGCCTCAGCTTGCAAAAGCGTGAAGCTGCTCTGCTCCAGCCTGGTGGAGGTTCGGGGATTGATCTCAGTGGGATAGGAGAAAAAAGGGAGCTCCCAAGATTTTTTTGGAGGACAATTTGTAGGAAAACATCACATACCCTCTGGTAAACTAACATAACTATGGAAAATCACCATTTTTAATGGGAAAACTCACTATAAATGGCCATGTTCAATAGCTATGTTAAATTACCAGAGGGTATCATCACATATCACATACATCACTAGACCCTCTGGTGAACGAACCCATGCTATTGAAAATTGCCATTGATCTTCGATTTACCTACTAAAAATGCCCGCAGCCCCACAGGTACTTCACTATATACACGTTCATATGGTATTTGCAGGGTTTCTTCAGGGTTTCCCTGGGGTTCATTTAGGGTTTTGTTCCTGGGTTTTTGGTGGGTTTTCTTTAGGGTTTATGTGAAAGGGACCGAAAACAGCTTTTGAAAATCAGCCGATTCCCCGCACAGGGCCATGAAGCACGTCCCCACGAAGCAACCTAAGAGGGACATGACATCAAGGTTAAATCAGCTCAATATAGTGGAAAGCCACAAAGTACCGTAAGGGTCACCAAAAATGACGTTCCTGACAAACATCCCGAAAGACGTTGGGGATTTGGGGCATAGCACAAGTGCTGGGGTCGACCAGAATTTCTTCCATGTAAAACACCGATGCCAGGTGCTAGCGATGCAAGTGTCTTTGGAGCGTCAGGAGAAGCTGGTGGCCCTTGATGAAGATCTGAGCTATTAAAAATGGCCTGGTTGATTGGTTATGAAATAGCTTTTGCTTATTGTTGTAACCAATTATTAAGTTTATTGGTTACAACAATAAGTTATTAATCATATTATCATATTGTTATTACAATACCTGGCCTATTGGAGATTATGAACTAACCCATGATAGGAATATTTACTAAGCAACATATTTCAGAATAGAAGGACCCAGAGACCAGCACCCACCTTAGCCATGACAGTCGTGCAGGAGTTTGCGGACTGGACGCGTGTATCGCTGGTGGGCTACAAGCCGGTTTCCAGCAACAAAACAGCGGAGGCGTTGGAAGAAGTGATGGCAATGACTTTGGAATGCCATCTGGGGATATTCCACGAAAAACGTATTCCAAGACTTGCAGCTTCTGAGCTGAAAATATTGTAATTATATTAGTGACCGACAAAATTAGCGGAAGACTAAAAAGTGGGGAGTGGACTTGGGATGTTCAAATTTGATCCCCCTGTGGATTTCCACTACTAAATGCTATGACCTAGGTCCCGGAAAGTGAACCTAAAATTTAGTGTGAAATTTCTAGAAACCATTTAGTAGAGAATCAAGATTTTTCAAAAAAAAAAAGTAAACATCTCTAGACCCATGATCCACATTTAGTAGAGAGGTAAAAATGATATGTTAATCATATGATGTCAAATGTTATTTTTTGGATAAAACCATTTATAGTAGAGATGTCAAAAAAATGTTTCAAAATCACAGAAACCATTTTGTAGAAGTTGCAAAGTAGAGTTCATAAAACGGTCACAATGAAATGAGACAAAACTGAAGAACCATTTAGTAGAGATTCCCATTCCGTTGCCCCCGATAGCCGTTTGGCCAATCCATGTCCATCAGGATGAATCACGTCAATCCAGGTAGTTCAAAAAAAAAGAAAAATGAAAAATAAATATAAATAGGGCCAAATGAATCTACCCCTTGGATTTTATCTACTCATGCATGCCTTTGCCTCCCTTTTAACTAACCAACAAGGCACCCAAGCGAGGGATTTGGCATCGCCCCCGAAAAAGCGAAAAAGAACCCAAGCACGAAAGGGATGTCTACTCATGCATGCCTTTGCATCCCTTTTAACTAAACTACCTCTACTAAATGGAAAGCCACAGCCCAGAGAACTCCAGACTAGGAAAAAAAACCTTACAGGAACCAAATGGAACCAAATAGGATCAAACACATCTATAACTAAAATTACCTAAATATATCTAAATCATTTCAAATTGAAATTGAAATTGACCTGTGGATTCCACAAACGGCTACGCAAAACCATGCTGTAGTGCCGTTGAGCTGCCGTGGAGCGGTGGTGGAGCGGTTGAATTGTTGTCTGTTTGTGGTTTCGTTGTGACTTTGCCTTTGTGGTGGAAAGGCGCGAAGAAGATAGCAGAGAGCTGATTACCATAGTTGGGACCATGTGGCGCATGGTAGAAGAGGTGCAAGAAGCGCAGGAACAAGGCAGGTGCAGTAGGAGGCAGGCGCACAGGTGCTGTAGGTGCCGTAGGAGGCAGGTGTGACAGGTGCCGTAGGTGTAGTAGGAGCAGGGGATTGTGCACCTTGTCAAAAGTGCGCAAGACGTGGGGCTTTTGGGGCATTTCCCAAAACCATGGCAGGCGTCTTTGCATTTTCAGTGGCAGGTGCAGTACAAGAGACATGTTCATCAGAGCTGTGAGGAGGTCCGGGCGCTGATTTCCTTAGAGGGGTTGCGTTTTGGAGCCTCAGATCTTCAGGTTTGCTGAGATGATTTTGCGTGACAGGTGCAGCACTTCGTATGACCTGGCATCATTTTTTCGTGCCAGGCAGTACTTTTAGACAGGTGGACTGGAAAAATCACAAAACGCATTGGTACCAGGCCGTCAGCTCTGCACTGAACTTTCCATTTTTGACGGAAGTCTCGCAGAATTCTTTCGTTTTTGATGTTGTCACCTTTGAAAACTGAAGTCTCGCAGAATAAATTTGTTTTCATGCTTGCAGATAGACAGATAGATAGAGAGACAGCTACATAGATAGATAGGTAGGTAGATAGATAGTTAGTTAGTTAGATAGATAGATAGACAGATGGATAGATAGACAGATAGATAGATGGAGAGACAGCTCGATAGGTAGGTAGATAGTTAGCTAGCTAGATAGACAGACAGACAGATAGACGGATATCCTATTTTTGAACTTCCGCCACGGTTTTGCGCGGTACCTCCAGGAGCAAGCCGCCGTTCTGCTGGACGCTGAGCCGACGTCAGCGAACAAACGGCTTTTTTTCTTGGCGCATGGCTGCCATGTGGCGCTGGATGCGCCGAAAAAAGTGCCATCAGAGGCTGTGGACCAAGCAACGAGGGTTGCTTGGTCTACAGCCGGGCTCAGGAGGAATTCACCGCGACTGCCGTTTGTGCTTGGTTCGTTGTGTGATATTGGTTTTGAAGTGGACTCCTCTAAGCCCTGCCAAGGCCTCCCGGCTTTGACCAGGTTTCTCCAACGGGAAAGGGTATAGCGCTTGGCACCCTGTTTTTTCCGCCTCCCGTTCTTAGATTATCCGGCGATGCCGGAGAAATTTTTTGGGAAAACTTGCACGGGACACCCTTGGACGGTCTAAGGCGGAGTGGGAATATGTTCCCACTCCACGCCGCGTCCTGGGAAAGTCCGTGCTTTTCCTTTTTTGCCGGGCTACAGGCGGCCCGAAAAAATGCAAGACTTGCTGAGGGCGGGGGACGTGGATCGTCTCATCCACGTCCTCCAGAATCAGCATGTCGCAGCGGTGCCGGGCTCAGTGCCGACCGCAGCTAGTCACACCTGGATGATCGAATAGTTTGTTACTATAGCGGACAACCACTTAGAATATTATACTAACTTTTTGAATAAAATAGAATATGTTTCTTTAAAGCTGTTTTATTTGGTTGAGATAGCAGTTGGAATACCTCGTTTAATAATGGAGATGGAATATGAAAAAATATAACATTTCCAGTAGGAAGCAGGCGCTACAAGTGTCGTTGGCGTTGAAGGCAGGTGCTGCAGGTGTCGCAGCTGGAGTAGAAAGCAGGTGCGGTAGGCGGAGTAGGAGGTGCCGTAGGTGCAGTAGGAGGCAGGTGTAGCAGGTGCCATAGGTGCAGTAGGAGGCACATGCAGCAGGTGCCCTAGGTGTAGAAGATGCGCTCTCTGAGGGCGTTGTTGGCAAGTGTTGGCTGTTTTCTTTTTTGCCTTTGCGCTGAAAGAAGAAGGGATCAGCAGCACGAAAGTTTTGACTGTTTTCTTTTTTGCCTTTGTGCTGAAAGAAGAAGCGATCAGCAGCACGAAGACGAAAAATGATATGAAATTGGAAAACAAGAAGCAGTCAGCTCAGCCTTCAGCCTTCAGCTGGTGCGGCAAGCGCAACATTTGATCTAGGTGCTGTAGAAGGCAGGTGTCGCAGGTGCAGTAGGGAGCAAGTGCCCACATTTAGTAGTGAAATTCGATCATGCATGCACATCCATTTAGTAGAGCTTGAGGCTATGCAAACCGTTTCTTCACTACAAAATGGTTGCGCAACCCCATCCCCTTAATTCACAGGGGGTTCAAATTTGTGCGAAGACATTCATAACCGATAGGGGACCGCCCACTTACCGATACCCTATGTTTACATATAGCATGGACGTACAAACCTTCGCAACCGATAGGGGACCACCCACTTCGGCCATGTCTATTGCGGGTAGTATGTAATTTTGTCCGCCACTCATATATATATATAATATATATATATAATTATATATATATACAATAATACAATCCTCCTTGCAATTTCTCCTTACAAAATCGCAACAGTTAAGCTTGGGAACATGGTGCGTTTTAGGGCCCTCCTTTGTTTAGGGGTACCTACCCAGCGTCAACGTTTGCAATTTTATAGAGGACCTTGGTGTCAGCGATTCTATAGAGATTTCTTGTTGAAAACAGGTTGACACTGAAAACTTGGAGCAAAAACAACTGGAGTATTCAGGTCAGCTGTCAATGAATGAGACTTGGGGAATCTGATTTTATAGAAGGCCAACTAACCCCCCCAACCTAAAAAAGACTTTACGAGAATGACTTGGTGTCAGCTACTCTATAGAAAATGATGCTCATAAACAACCTCAGTGACAGCAATTCTATAGAGATTGTCAACCTGAAAATACCCTTGCGCCTCTGATTCTATAGATGCATTTTCAAAAAGATGGTCAACATCTCCAGGTTTATCACTATAAAATTGCTCACACCAACACTTTCACTTCATTCACAAGGGGATTATATATATAACTATATATATATATATTTACTATGATATTATATGATATGATGTACATACATATTTGCGTAGCTTTAGAATTCATGTTTGTTTCAAGACAGTTCTGTTTTGTTTCGTAACAGCTGACATCCAGTGATCCAGCCGGTTGAGCAGGCCGAGCCGGACTCGGCAAGGACCACGCCCAGAGCCGGTGGCTTTCCACCGAAGCCCAAGGGGCACAAGCAGTCCGGGAAGCTCGGAGAATGTGGCTGGAAAAGCTACAGAAAGCCAGTGCCAATCCATGGAAAAAGGATGAAACAGGTGTAAATGGTAGATGATAGTTGGATATCACACGCGTTCTCCGAAAACCTTGTAGAAGATATGCAGAAATCGAATGAATCTAATTTGAACATCTTGAGATACTTCATGTTTCTACTATAGAGATGCTTTTGCCAGTCAACACCCATCCCAACCCCAACACCAACAGATGATCGCATCCCTTCAGGTCTCCCCGTCGGAAGGATGAAGCCTCGCAGGCAGAGTTGATCCTGGTGAAATCCCATGTTCTATCCCAACCCATCCTGGCGACTCGCAGGTCATCAGCTTGGATAAGCGATGCTATTCCTGCTGCAGTCAGACGCAGATGGTCATGTCAGGCTTCAAGTCAGGAGACTCAGTGCTACACTGCATCATCATCATCATCATCATCATCATGATCATCATCATCATCACCATCATCATCATCATGATCATCATCATCATCATCATCCCAGCGGCAGATCATGAAAAAATATCTCTGAACATCAGATTGCAAAATATAAGAAATAAATATTTGAATCCAGTGATTTAGTGATTCCCAGAAGTATAGGTAGACTTTGTCTATGTACACAGAATGCATAGACGGCGTAGACATCTACAAGCCATAAGTTTATCTATGTATTCTTGTGGGAAATGCAGGGTAATCCTTCCAAAAAAGCACGATTTTTTTTGTGACGTTCTCGTTGGACTCAAGGATGGCTTGCTTGAACTATCGGCCCTCAGCTGTTCATATTGGAGAAGGACTGCAGTCTGCGAACTCGGGGGGGTGGGCTCTCAGGATGATTCCCAAGAATGGGATATACATTATGTACTGGAACATAATGGATATATAATTATATAAGCACTTAGTGGCGTGGGGATATTCCTCGAGTATAATGGGATGTCATGGGATTTCCAAGAACATAATCAACATAATGTGTGTGTGAAATTGGGGTATACACCCCGCTATGACGAAGGTAGTGGGGACAACCAAGAAATTGTATCTCTAGATGCAGTTGATTGATGTTGGCCCATTACACGTTTCCTTTTTCAAACGATAAAAAATTGGTTTCACCCGTCGTTTTACGACGGGATGGAACATATTGGACACATCGATGTGAGGATGCAGCCTCAGCTGATGCCAGACTTTTTCCCGAAGCTATTTCTTTCAAGTCCATGTTTCATGATAAACAAATATTAGTCTGGGTGAATTAAAACGACCTCACTGCGACCGAACCCTGGAATCATGGTTTATAAGAGGAATCATCCCAAAATGGCCTTAATTCAGGTTAATGAAATATTGTAATTTACCCAGAAATATGAGTAAGTGGCTAATAACCATCTAATGAACCAACTGTATGTGGGATATACATGGATATACCCTAGTTACAAATATGTTATTACCCAGTTACTCTCTGGGATGCAGAGTTTTCCCGCAAGGAAGCTATGAGCGCCTGGATCTCTTCGATCGCATGGCAGATCTGGCTCCAGATCTTGCTCCATGGAGATGGGAATATTTGAGATATCTCACTGGGAAATACATGTAATTACTTTACTTCGAGTGATCCCCACCATGACATTTATCGATTTGTTACTGGCAAATCTTCTGGCATTCTATCTGACATATCTTCTGGCATCCGATCTGGCATTCTATCTGGCATATCTCATGGCATTTTATCTGGCATATCTTCTGGCATTCTATCTGACATTCTATCTGGCATATCTTCTGGCATTCTATCTGGCCGTTGAGGTCCAACGGTGCACACTGAGCTGGGCAGGTCCCAGGTTGAGAACCAGCAGTGCACACTGAGCTGGGAAGGTCCCAGGTTGAGGTCCACCGGTCACACTGAGCTGGGCAGGTCCCAGGTTGAGGTCCAGTGGTGCCCACTGAGCTGGGAAGGTCCCAGGTTGAGGTCCACTGTTGCCCACTGAGCTGGGAAGGTCCCTGGTTGAGGTCCAGCGGTGCACACTGAGCTGGGAAGGTCCCTGGTTGAGGTCCAGCAGTGCACACTGGAGAAACTGGAGGAGGAGGAGGCGGAGGAGGAGGAGGCGGCGGAGGCGGAGGAGGAGGAGGAGAACGAGGAGGAGGAGGAGGACGAGGAGGAGGAGGAGGAGGACAACAGCTCTGATAAAATCCAACAACCCTCACCTGGCAGGTGGGGAAAAACTAAACATGAATCAGACCTAGAGATTCAAAGTGATGTAAATCCATGTAAATCCGCTGAACGGGGTTGAACGGTTGAACATGGACCAAGATAAATTGAGTTGGTAGGGTAGGTTTCACTACTTGAGACGACTAGGCTTTGTGTTTGAAGTCCACAATGTGGGTGTTTTATCAAACTAGTTTCAACTGACATTTGTTTGATTGATGTTGATTGATGATTTGATGATTGAAGCGCTGCTAAGCACCTAAGCAAAACTGTCTAGGGATGTCACATGGATTCGCGCCTTTGTTACCTGGAATTTTAGGGCTATACAATTATGTAGATATATATATATATATATTCACAAGATTTGCCGTTGACCTCACATATAGACATGTTGTTTCCAATAGATATGATTATTGAATCCAATATTCATATTCTTAGGTGTCTCAGTGTGCTTTCTGTTATGTATCCCCATTTTGTCGTCAAGAAGATGTTTAATATTTGGTAGTCATTTGCAGACAGTGGTCAAACATGTTTGAACCGTCCCTGTATGTGCGCCCCCGATTTGTATCCAAGGTTAGGATGGATGTGTGAGATAATATCATATAATATATATATATATAGTATGTATATATGCATCTTTTTTGGTGCTCATCCCCATTTGATTATCTGATATCCTATGGCTTCCCCGTATGGATTTGTCTGAAAATATGGTATTCCGGGTACCCCTAATCCACTGGTTTTGTAAGTCTAGTACCCCGTGCAAAGAGATGTTAAAAAAGGGAATGTTACTGTAAATTTACCACCATAACTTAGTAGGATTGTAGACTCTTCTGCCTCTGTTTGGTTTTTTTTAGGGTTGCCCGTACTTGCAATATTTATAACCCCATATTTGTAGTAATTAATAACCCAAATTATAGTCAAACTAAACCCATAAAGTAGTCTTAATCATAATAAACATATTTTAGCAATATGTATATATATATATATATACACACTGTGACACTAATATATATATATATATATTAGTTCTATACAATACGTATATCATATCATATGATGAGCAAAGAATGGCGGCCCAATCTGCCAGGATTCGTTGTTGAGCAAGGCTCATGATCAGATGCGCTTCTCGTGCGATGCTGAGGCCGGAGACCCACCGAAAATATAGCAAGTTTCATAGGGAAGATATGAGAAAATATGGGAATATATGTGAACATGTAGGCCATATATTGCCATTATATATTTCATGGATGTTCATGGAAACAAAAATATCTAAACCACCCACTTATTTTTGATAACTTATACACCATGAATATGGTGCGTTTTTTTTCGCTAAATTATCAGACAAACCATGACAAACCATCACAAAGCTGGACTTGAAAGCAATGTTTGGGTTTAACCTTGCACTCTTTACTGATGTTATTGTTAGGACCTGAACCATTTGAGAAGCTTTTCCCATGGTCGTATCCTCAGTTGGGCAACATCCCTTTCGGAAAAGGATTGGCCAACAAAGCCAGCAACTCTGAAGATGTCACCTGGCAACTCGAGCTGGATTGAACTAGGGAACTAGTGATGAAACCCGGGCAAAATTATGGATAGTTTGCAAGAAAATGCCAAAAAAAACCTGTTGTGATGAATCATCAGTCCATCATTTGGCCAGACATATTCGAGGGTTTTTCGGGCCCCAAACATGACCAATTTGCCAATGTCGTCTGGAAACATTGTAGGATTCTTAGGGCTCGGTCCAAAAAATCGTGACGCCTAAGGTGACTTGGAACCTGAAAGGGTGGCAACAGTGCGAAATGTGGAGGTGGTGGGCTTAGATTTTGGGGCATAAGTGGAGGCAGGGGTTTCACTCGAAAATGGCTAGTTTACCAGCATCAAATTTTGGTGCGGAATGGGATAGGTTGCCAAAATGCCAGTGAATCATGATTTATGTGACTAAGCAACACTCACCTTAGAGTTGAGACGGCACATGAAGCTACACTGGAAGGGACTGAAGCAAAAAAAAAAAACGCTGGAAACTACAGTAGGATGATCCCTGAAATTTGTTGGTTTCGAATTTTACCATCAGCAATTCTTGGAACTAAATGGTTTGCAAGATATGTGATGATCTGTGAGATAACGTCACAATCCAAGAGTCCAAGAGTGGTTAGTTAGTTTGGACGCACCTGCGCTATGAACTCCAAACCCTCATATCAAACACCCCTTAGAAACCATGGTTTAAGTTTACTAAGGGAATTACTAAGGGAATTACCCTCTGGTAAACTAACATAGCTATGGAAAATCACCATTTTTAATGGGAAAACTCACTATAAATTGCCATTTTCAATAGCTATGTTAAATTACCACAGGGTACACACATTTGGGGACCGTGCCAGGCTGGTGTGTTTTTCATGTTGCGGGCATGGCATTGCAGGCCGAGAAGCCCAATGTCAATAGCAAGGTGCAGGCCGGAGTTTTTTAGGGAGAGGTGTGATGGAAAGCCACAGCTTCCCCACAGATTCACAAAAAAATCTATAGATATTTTTAGATCTGTGTAGATGATCTATAGATATTTATGATCTATAGATTATGATCTATAATATCTATAGTTACAGAGATTTTAGATGCAATTTTATGTGAGTAGAAAAGCTGACCTCTTTAAACCACCCTGTGGTTTATGGATTGGGCAAAGCATGCCAGGTTAAGCCACCACAGCCTATCCTTGGCATCCGGATCTTTTTCAATGAAGAAAATCCCCATCGCCATGGCATTACTTGAGCAAATTCAAGAACCCAAGGTTGGTTGATGTTTCCCTTGCTTTTCTTGTTAAATCATCTCGAATCCACCCATCGTAAAGCCATGGGTTTTCCATGGTTTTCCATAGATGAGAGAGGCTTGGTTTCTAGCCTTGTTTTGGGCTTCGCGGCTCCGAGGCAAAGCCCACGTTTGTGCTGCCTGCTTTATCAGCCAGGCAGTTTTAAGCGGTGAGGGCTGGATAGTACCCTCTGGTAAACTAACATAACTATGGAAAATCACCATTTATAGTGGATTTTCCCATGAAAAATTGTGATTTTCCATAGTTATGTTAGGTTACCAAAGGGTAGTAACTAAAAGATACTAGAATGGGGGTACCCCAATAGCTGGATGGTTTACGCTGGACAATCCTACAGTATATTAAAATGTTTTTTGGGGGATATTGCCATTTAAGGAAACCACCATATTGGAGAATCCACTGGACGACCTCATCATGATGTTTAGGGTGGATCATCTGAAGAAATGGATGCTGTGAATGATAATGGTTTGACTCGATGGTGGGGTGTAGTCACTCATAATCTACCCCATGGGGAAGAGACAAGCTGAGCGAAAGCTGTTGATTGTTGCAACGGCTACGCGGCTACTTAGCATGTTGTCAGTGCGCGGGATTGAAGCCACCAGTCACCAACTGAATATGGGATGGAGTAGCAGGAGATAGATCTGATATGATCTGTTTTCATCCATAGATGGCAATCTGCTTGAGATCTGAACAGGATCTAAAAATCACGACAGGAGGATGTCTAAGCATTATCATCCTATTGGCCAAAAGGTTGTTTTTTTGTTCCCGTTGGATCCTTTTGGTCAAGGCTTCCCACTTTTTCTGATTAGTTGTTGTTTTCCCTTCAGCATAGGAAAGGGATGGAAAGGGTTTTCAACGTTGATAAGTTGGATTCTCGGAAATCTCCCGCTTTGGTGCCAGGTGATTTTCCCGTGCCGTGCAGCGTTTCTGCCAAAGGTGCTACGTAAGTTCATGGGGGGACGACAAACTTGGATGTGGAAAACCAATGGGGAAACCCGTTCTGAAAATGATCTACATATTTCTGGTAGGTCCTAGGCAGTTCCAGGGCTGATTATTCATATTATTCGGAATGGACATCGATGAACCCTTTGTCGATCTTTGTTGAACTGGTGAAACAGCAGACCTTTGTTCAGAGGAAAAGCAGACCTTTGTTCCGCATTGATATGCGTTGATATAAGTCAGTGTCCCTTCGTATTTTCAGTTCTGCGTGTTGCCAGGGAGCGATTTGGACATACGTGAAATACGTCCCTACAGCACCCTGTAGCAGATCTCCAGTCTGCAAGTTCATCAATTTCCTATTATATGTATTTATATGTCCTCATTTTTAAACACAAAATAATTATAGTATATTATAGTGTTTTGCAAAGTCTTGCATCTCAGCAGCTTTGATCCATGCCAATCCTGTGCAAGGCAGGAAAGCGCGGCTCTGGCTTGTAGCATTCGTGAGTAGTTTACGACTGCAGAACTGGCAGACGCAGCTTCCTGAGATTGCGAAAATGCCACTCCCTAACCAGCAATGGTTTGATGTACGGGCATGAAATCATCACCGGAAGGTATTGGTAGAATCTTAATCAACAACATGAGCATCACTGGGTTGATTTGAAATTATTTGAAAGATGGTACAATATATTTAAAAAAATAGTTTTTCGCCGTCCATCCATGTTTGCGGAAAATCATCCCTGAAAGCATTTGAAAGCACTTCAGCAAGTACATGAATATTCATTGCATGTTAGCCAAGCGGGTGATGATTTTCAAGAATCGAGCTGCAGTTTGCCCTGGACGCCATGGCAATGTTTTTTTTTGCTGGGCCTCTTTCGCCGAGCACCGCTCATGAGGGCCGACCAGTGCTGAAGAACGGCACTTGGGCGTTGTGGCTGATATTTGTGTTCTCGATGCGAATCCAAAGTCTGGTTGATTCAACTTTTAAAATCGAGACTTCCCAAAAAACGCTGAAACCCAAGCTGCCCTGCTTTGAAGGTCATTGTTACATTGTTCATCATTGTTCGCTGTTTTGCGGAGATGGTATGGTGTCTTTCATGTTGAGTTGAATCCAAGAAGCCCTGCACAGATGGCAACTGTCAACATTCAACCAGCACCCGTGGTGGTTGTATTCCCAACAAATCTTCCATGAATGGCGCTATTTTTAGTCACACTTTTTTCATTTAGTGGATGCCCTCTGGTAATTTTTAGCACGGCAATGGAGAATCAAGGAAAAACATCCATTTATGGATGAGTTTCCAATTCAACATCTATGTAGAGGGCATTTCCCCGACTGCTCAATTTCTGATTGTTGCCGCGACTGCTCAAGACGGCCCTGGAAGAAGCCATCCGAGGCGATGTGATTAATGGATTGGATCGCGATGGAGGATCCCTAAAGGTATGGATGTAAAGTCAAAAGTATGATTGATTATATATGGTTAATACATATGGTTATTCTATATGGTTATATATGGGTATATAATGTATATACTGGTTGGTGGTTTGGAACCATGGAATTTTATGACTTTCCATCTATTGGGAATAATGATCCCAACTGACTAATATTTTTCGGAGGTGCTGAAACCACCAACCAGGACTGATTTAACATGAGTTCACCATATTTAACCAACTACAAGGTGGGTATCAATGATATTGTATATGTATGTATATGTGGTATAGTAGTCACTAAAGAAATTCTGGCGTTGAATACCGTTGCTGGGTGAAACCCATGCGCTTTGGTGTGTCCCATAGTCCCATACCGATGGACCCATACGATGCTGTCAGAACTGGCATGACACCCCAACGATGGCACCAAGAATCCACACTGACCAGGCCTCTTGCGATGCTCTCCGTCGCGAATTATTTGAAGCAACTTGGCCGAAATCAGGTTGAACTGTTGCCTGGAGTGAAAGACGAGCGTATGATTGCAAGTTGCGGCAAATATATCGAACTTGAGGAGCAAAAGCAAACTAAAATCTAAACAAAAGGGATCTGCCCAATAAGGAATGATTGGGATTCCAGCTCATTCCGTTTGCTTTTTTGGGGGGTGATGGGAGTTTGTGCCAAGATCAATTTAGGGAAGGATTGCTCAAATTCTGAGTTGATTTCCTGGACTCAGTCACAAAATGACATGAGAGAGAAGAACGTCGAAACATCTACTGTCGTTGGCTATTTGTTCTGTTTTGGGTTGAAAACAAAAGGGAATGCCTAAAAGTGACCAAAGCACCTGGGTACAAGACTGTAGGCTTCTTGCAGACAAGTCAGAGCACAACTAGCAAGCACAAATATCAAATATGTAGTATTTCGGAATATGATAGCTAGGGAGTGGTTTGATTCCAGGATGAACTGTTAATTTTCCATGTTTTGGGATCCCTGCAAATTTAAAACATGTGCCAATAACATGATAATATCCAAAGAAATAAGACTAGTTATATTTGCTGATACCTTGTGACCCTATTAGTCGCCCATAAATAGACTCAAATGTTTGGATGTGACCCATACAATTAATGATTATCTAAATGCTTGTGATAAACTTAAAACCACCATTGACACCTAGTGGTGCAGTCCGGTTAGTAAGCCCGGCTAAGGGTCCAACTGGTGATCCCTAGTGAAGCCTCATATAGAAAAACTCATGTTCCGATGGTCTGTAAATATAGAACTACAACATATTATATATAGTTGCGATGATATTCTATAATCCCATCCCATCAATACATATATATATATATATATACAGATGCAAAAATATGGATGAATATGTCACGATCTCTTTGCCATTTCACGGTAGATTGTGGCTAGTCATCGGAATAATCTTCAAATGCACGTGTGTTTCAGGTGATTTTTAAGAATCTATCCACGCAAACGTAGCATCGATACTACATCATACTACATTACATTATGTTACTATATGACTATATAGTTATAACTAGACGATTTATGGACTTGGGGATTGGTAGATATACATATGCATAGATCGCTGTAAGATCTATTTACGATGTTTTATATATATATATGCATCAACTCTGATCATGTGAAGTTAGTGAATCAAATCATTATAATTTACCTAACCATATATATATATAGATAACTATGACAATAGTAACCATAGATATATCCATGTTATAGGTTCCCAACTATAGGTATAGATATATCCCTAAACTATTATGAATCATTTTTATTTGCCCAGACGTTATGAACTATAGATAGTAGATAGTAGATATATATATATATAAACTATCTATAGTTGATATCTATAGTAGACATATATCCCAACTATTGGTTGCTTCGTTCACCCACTTGGCGTAGGAAGCCTCGCCGTGGTGAGCCTCCGCCGAGCGATGTGGAGCCAGGGTCGCCGGCCGTGGTCGGCGCAGGGATCGTGTCCGGCCCCGAAAACACCCCGGGGGCCGAGGAGTCCTGGACGGTGGAGACCGATGTGTATTGATCAATAGTTGGGATGGTTACCCTCTGGTAAACGTTTACATAACTATGGAAAGATCCACCATTTTCTAGCTGGGTAAATCCAGTATAAATGGCCAGTTGATAAATCAATAGTGTTCATATCAATAGTTGATAATATCAATACACAATAGTTGGGATGGTTAATATAATATCAATACACAATAGTTGATAAGATCAATAGTTGATAAAAACGATAGTTGGGATGGTTGATATCAATAGTTGATAATATCAATAGTTAATATCAATAGTGTTAATAAATCACCATTTAAGATCTATTGATGGTGTGTATTGATCAATAAAAAAGTGAATCACTATAAATGGTTGCCTTCATTAATACACCATTTGTGATCTATCGATGGTGTGTATTTATGAAAAAATATCACAAAGATCAACTTAAATATATGTGTGATTTGTTGATGTCCTGGGCATGTTGCGACAAAATGAATGGTGAAAACACCACGCCAGAAGCAAGAATGGGAAATATCACGTGATTCTTTTCAGCGTTCTGCATCCGAGTTGAAACCATCTTGTGGAGAAGATTGCAAAAAAAGATTTGTCAATCAAGGAAACAATGAATCGAGGGAGCAATCAATGAATCCATGATCATGAGAATTATTTGAGGCATAATCACTATAGATTACTGTAGTATGATCACTTCGAAGCAAACCACAGGATCCTGGCCATGTGCAAAAAAAAAACGGGTTGACCGAGGCAATGTCTCAGAGTGAAAGGCTTTTGCGTCATCAACCATGCCGTGAGTGAACAGTCCCTTGCCGCAATTTGTTGGGGGTGATAGTTGACCTCGACATGGTCCAGTCAGACCGATCATGTTTGGTGTGTGTCCAGATGAGGGGCTTTGGGGGGGTCCAAGTGAACCCCCGGCCTGTTGGGTGTGTTTGTACTTCCTCCTAAATACATAGATAGTAGATTGAATTAGTAGATGAGATAGGTAGATAGATAGATAGATAGATACGTAGATAGATAGATAGATAGATACATAGATACATAGATACATAGATACATGGATAGATACATAGATTGATAGATAACAATATAGATAACAATATAGATAACAATATAGATAACAATATAGATAACAATATAGATAACAATATAGATAACAATATAGATAACAGTATAGATAACAGTATAGATAACAATATAGATAACAAGATAGATAACAATATAGATAACAATATAGATAACAATATGATGAAAAAAGATAAACAGATATAGATTAAAACAAATATTGATAAAAAAACAATTCTAGACAAAAATATATAGATCAAAAAATAGATTTAAAAATATAGATAATATATATATATATAAATATAGATAAAACTATAGATAAACATATAGATTAAAATTTAGATAAAACTATAGATAAACATATAGATTAACATATAGATAAACATATAGATAAAAATATAGATAAAAATATAGATAAAATATAGATAAAATTTAGATAAACATATAGATACAATATATATATATATACAGAGATAAAAACATAGATAAAAAAATATAGATAAAAAAGATACAAAATATAGATAAACAAATATAGATAAAAAAATATATATATATAGATAAAAGAAAATAAAGATAACATGATATAGATAAAAAATATAGATATAAAATATATCGATAACCATATAGATAAAAAATATAGATGAAAATATAGATTAAAAAAAATATAGATAAAAAATATAGATAAAAATAAAGATATAAAGATATAGATAAAGAATATAGATAAAAAGATTAACAAAATAAAGATATAAAGATATAGATAAAAATATAGATAAAACTGTAGATAAAAATATAGATAAAAATATAGATAAACATATAGATTAAAATTTAGATAAAACTATAGATAAACATATAGATTAAAATATAGATAAACATATAGATAAACATATACTGTAGATAAAATATAGATAAACATATCGATGCAAAATATAGATGGAAAAAATATAGATAAAAATATAGTTCAAAATATAGATAAAATATAGATAAAATATAGATAAAGTACCGATAAAACAAATTGATAAAAAATATAGATAAAAATATAGGTAAAAAATAGATAAATAGATAGATAAATAGATAGATAGACTCGATAGACAGATGGACAGATAGACAGATAGACTGATAGACAGATAGATAGATTTGATAGATTAGATAGATTGGGTAGATTAGATAGATTAGATAGATTAGATAGATAGATAGGTGGATAGGATAGGGTAGGATAGGATAGGATAGATAGATAAAGAACTAGACAAAGAACTAGATAAATAACTAGATAAAGAACTGGATAAAGAACTAGATACAGAACTAGATAAAGAACTAGATAAAGAACTACATAAAGAACTATATATAAAGAACTATATATAAAGAACTAGATAAAGAACTAGATAAAGAACTCTATATAAAGAACTATATATAAAGAACTAGATAAAGAACTATATATAAAGAACTAGATAAAGAACTAGATAAAGAACTATATATAAAGAACTATATATAAAGAACTAGATAAAGAACTAGATAAAGAACTATATATAAAGAACTAGATAAAGAACTAGATACAGAACTAGATAAAGAACTAGATAAAGAACTAGATAAAGAACTACATAAAAAACTATCTATATATAAAGAACTATATATAAAGAACTATATATAAAGAACCAAATATAAAGAACTATATATAAAGAACTATATATAAAGAACCATATATAAAGAACCATATATAAAGAACTATATATAAAGAACTAGATAAAGAACTGGATAGCACTAGATAGAACTCAATAGAACTAGATAGAACTCGATAGAACTCGATAGAACTCGATAGAACTTTAGATAGAACTAGATAGAACTCGATTGAACTCAATAGAGCTCGACAGACCTCGATAGAACTCGATAGACCTCGATAGACCTCGATAGAACTAGATAGAACTAGATAGAACTAGATAGAACTAGATAGAACTAGATAGAACTAGATTGAACTAGATTGAACTAGATTGAACTAGATTGAACTAGATAGAACTAGATTGAACTAGATTGAACTAGATTGAACTAGATTGAACTAGATAGAACTAGATTGAACTAGATTGAACTAGATTGAACTAGATTGAACTAGATTGAACTAGATAGAACTAGATTGAACTAGATTGAACTAGATTGAACTAGATTGAACTAGATTGAACTAGATTGAACTAGATTGAACTAGATTGAACTAGAGTGGATTAGATTGAATTAGATTAAATAGATGAAAATCGATTGAGTTGGATCAACTTTGATTTGATTAGACTATATTATATTGATTAGATTAAATCATATATATATGTAGATAAAATATTTATTAATCTTAGATAGATAGATAGATAGACAGACAGATAGACAGACAGACAGACAGATAAACAGACAGATAGATAGAGATATTGAGATAGATAATATAGAGATACTGTGGATGGTTGCGAAATCCTGCACCAGTTGATAGATGGTGTATCATATAACTAAAAAAAAGGTTTCAACCATCCTTTCGGTGGTGCAGGATTTCGCAACTATCCACAGAATCACCACATGAAATGTCACTATTGTTGATGATTAGTTACCCTCTGATACAACGTAGTGATAAATCACCAGCATTTACATAATAGGTAAATGTCAGTTTCAACCAGCAACCATCCAGTGATATAGATTCGGATTTGGGATGTTTTCATATGACATACTGAGGTCAATCATCTCAGTTCAGTAAGGTGTTGCTGAGGTTTCCTTGAGCCTCATGCTGGGTGGTTTCGACTACTCTCTGGTAATGACTAACATAGCTATTGAAAATGGCCATAGAAATAGTGGATTTTCCCAGCTATAAAATGGTGGATCTTTCCATAGTTACGTACACGTTTACCAGAGGGTATTTGCCGGATTGATAAAGGCCCAAGTTGACTGGTCCCATTCTGATGAGCCATGGCCATGGCACCAGTCTCAACCAGTCAGATGAGCCATGGCCAACCAGTGGCGATGGCTCAGGATGCTTCAGAGTGCCAGCAATGAGCTGACATCACAAGAATGGTATCAGCCCGCAGTGCTGATCCAGGCGGGACTTGCTGTCTGTGAAGACCCGCTGGATCATTTGCCATCAAGGAAATCAGACATACTCCAACTGAATACATCTTAATACCATGAAATCCCCGATCTCTAGCATTTACTATCCATTGCTAGTTGATAATTAATCTTCTCATGTCCAATTTCCTGCCAAGTTCAATTCCGATTGAGGGTATGCACCTTTTTTCTTCTGTTTCGTAGAACATGAGGGGAAAAATGTGCCCAGCGAGTCACGGTCGGACGGGCGATCTTTCATCCCCTATGCCATAAACCTATACCATTTGGGGATCCATTTGGGGATAATTGGAATCCCGCCCATTCATGGTAAGTGTTTGGGCATTGTTGATGGTTTTGCGATGTTCTTTCGTTACCATGTAAAAATCATAGAAATGGTCTATACCAGTGATGGGCCCCTCTCTGTTTTCCTTTAATTTTAAAAGGAACAAAACCAGTTAGTGGTGTCATTCTCATTGATATTCCCATGATACGCCCATGATATTCTCATGATTTTGAGATTAAATCCATGATATTCCCCTCATGTTCATCTTAAATCCCAGCTGCAAATCCCATGATATGCCCATGTTCAAATTCCCATTCAAGTCCCATTGAAATCCCATGAGAACAGCCACCAGTCAAACCAGCCTTTTCCCCATTCCAGGAGGGCCTCCTTGGAGTGGAGGGCTCCAATCGCATCTGCCGCATGGCCTCCATTGACTTTCCCGATGCGCAAAGCTCTTCGGAACAGTTCCAGGTGGGGATGGAGTTTATGCCCAAAAGGATGGCACGATGGCACCCAGAAATTGGGGCAGGGATGGCTAGTCTTACTGGTGCTTAGTAGGCAATAATCCCAGCAACCCCCATTCCCATCCATTCCCTACTAAGCACCAGGAAGTAGTATGGCAAGATTTATAGATTTGGCCACTGTAAAGATTGTTGTTCCGTGATGTTTGAGTGGTTTTGGGATGGTTCGAATGGAAAGATGCTCTTCAGCAGTTGGGGAATTCAACAAGATCGAGCAGATGGCGGAGAACTACAATATGAGGTATGAGGTACGAGTATGTTTCTTGATGTTTCTAAATAGATCCGTAGCCCATGATTTGCCAATCATTGAGAATCTTGTTGATGTCACAGATGCTGATGACATCACCCCTCAACCCCTCACCCAGTCGAAGCAGGATGGCCTTGCTGGCATAGATTTTGCAATGTGGAAACTGGCAGAAGTGACTAGGCGGCAGGTATTCAGTGCATTTCAGTGCCCCCCGCGTCCCAGGGTCGCTTCTTAAGGCATTGATCTGAATGTGGGCAGTGTTCAAGACCTCCGTTGGTTTGATTATATGGGGGTTTCCATAAATGGAGGATCCCCAATAGCTGGATGGTTTATAATGGAAAATCCTATTAAAATGGATGATTTAGGGGTACCCCCATTTGTGGAAAGCCCCAGATGGGATCATAGGAACCGATGACTTGAGGAATATCAGAATCCATTAGGGAAATCACTGGTGACGAAGCTGTGGGACCACACGGAGTTTGGAACACTACTCATGTGGTTTGGCCCATTCCCCCAGCAAATCATGGCCCCAAAAAGTCCGAAAAAAATCAGAAAAAATTGTGATCCTTCCAAACCAGATGGCTGGAATATGCTGGAATCCAAGTGGCCCTTAGTTCAAATCGCCCTTAGCGCCCTTAGGCTGTTGGCCCCTTTCAAGACGAGCTGGGCTTTCGGTGCTGCGGTCGAAGCATTGGTTTCCTGCATCAGGCGTCGCTGTTCCATTGGGATTTTGGGCCGTGGAACTGCGAACTGCCATCCCCATGTCGTGTCTAAAAACATCTAAAAACATCTAAAAACCATGTGCAGAAGTTATCATGACGTGCAACCTTCCCATGCACGGTTCCATCCGTGTTCATCAAGAGGTTTTTTTCATACAATTTTAATCGAATTCGATCCATTTGCTCTGATTCAGATAGGGTTTGCATAAGTTCAGATATGTATTGGCATACTTGCTGGGGGCCATCTTCTCATCGTTGTCCCATCATGTTCCAACCATGTTTCATTCTACATGGTATCTGAATAATTTCAATAGAGATATCGTGACAAGATAGCATTTATACTCATTTATTACATGATGTTATATTGACACACATATATATAATTATATATATATAACAAAATTATCATGGCTTATACATATACATCGCGATTGGCATATTTGGAGGTAACACGGCCATCTCCTTTTTCATCACCCCATCACCCCAGCTTTTCTCAAAGCCGAGGCCAGTGATCCCGATTTAGAGGAAGCCGAGCTCACAGATCAGGAGGCCAGCGATTGGTTTGGGCTCCCCAGCGCATGCTGCGCTGATCGATGGCTGTGGGCAGATTTGACGACAAAACCCATATCCAATTTCCACTCACAATATATTGGGACGCATCAAAGACGCATCAAAGACCTATGAAATACCTTAGTTGACTGAGATGCACATTGAGGAAGATATCCATTGAGGATCCATAGATGAGAGTAGGGTTATATACGGAGAATCATCCGCAAAGCGGCGACCGTTTCTGGTTTGAGGATCTATATATAAAAATGTGTTCACCTCTTGGAACAGCACGGAATAAGGAACTTTTGTTGGGAGTTGATAATCCTTCTCAATGAACAATCGATAGAGCTAACTTGGGAACTTCATTTGGGGTAATAGTTGGGACAAATGTGTGGTTCGATTCAGGATTATGAGCATGATTGAGCTTGGCAAAGGCCATCGCAAGACGGCCTGACGCTGCACTAAGGAGTGCAATTTTCACCAGCAGAAAGATCATGATCCTCGTGTTTTTGGGTCCATGACCCAGAGAAATCCAGTGCCTGGGATTCGTGTGGCGAAGTCGACAAGGGTTCAACACAGCTTGTGACGTCTCACCCTGAAAGTAGGTTGGACATTTCGAAAACAATCCATCACCAAAAAACAGGAACTTGATGTTCCCCTGGTGCTCGAAATACTGGAAGGTGTTTGAATTCCCCAAAAAAAAACTAAGTAATGTGGGTAAAGCAATGCCATAAACGCACCATCCCCCAGTCATCATGTTTATAAGTGGTATGGTTACCATTATTCACATTCCCAGTCATGGGTGGTTTATGATTGTTTTACCCACATTAGTAATCATTCACCACTAATTATTACCACTAATTATTTCCATCATGAACCATCATTAACCATCATTAACCATCATTAGCCATCATTAACCATCATTAACCATCAACTATAATCAACTATAATCATGAACCATCATTAACCATCAACTATAATCATTACCATTACCATTAATTAACAATCGTTTGGAGCCATAGGCTTCGAGAACATTGGGCCAGCCCGGGCAACCAATGACCCATCGGTTTCATTCATGCGACAGGTCCAGGCAAGGGAACGTTAGAAATGCAGCCGTACGACGATGAGCTGAGACCTGAGAAAGGTAGTCGGGTGAGGTGATAGTTATATCATATTTGCTATAGATTATATAAATCAACGATAGAAAATATGATCGTGTTTTTTCGGAATATCTAGTGAATAGCTATTGATAGCCGGCGTAAAGCCGATGGATTTGCCGTACCGGTTGGTAGGTTGGTCTCAGCAGTCAGGCTACACCAGCAAGGCCACATTCTCTCCTTAATAGGGATGGATATCCAAAACCTGATGAAGCCCAATTTTTTTTGGATGGTTTATGGCAAACTGGCTTTAGAACATGAGTCTAGTTGACCATTTCTAAAGTATATTTTCAGATACCCTCTGATAAAAAACGAACATAGCGAACTGGAAAATCACCACATTTAAGTTCGGTAAATCAACTATTCAATAGGTAAATCAACTATAAATGATTATAAATGACCATGTTCAATAGCTATGTCACAAATTACCTAGATGGTGGTCAACATTTGAATATTCGCCAGGGATGGCCAGGGTGGGTTCACCGTTGATCATGTGGAATTGTTCCACCTTTTTCATTTCATGACGCGTTCCCCATGGTTCTTTTATGATGCTTGGTGATTTAAAATAAGTACTACTCAAATTTAACATAGAGTATCATGTGAGTATCATTAATATTTACCCTGTGATAGTTGGCAAATCTTGCAAAATGTGCGTTTATTGCTGGCAAAAACTGCATGATACCCCTCCCTACACGATTCTAGTTGGTTAATATCATGTTGTTGTGACATGTTAGGTTATGATACATTATGTGCTGGTTTCTGCCTGTACACAACTGTATGTTGATGATATATAACTTATATAACAGTAACATTCATGTGCTAGTCACCCAATGCCATTTGCACCATCCCCCAGTCATCACCATGTTTATGGGTGGGAGTCCAATCCCCAGTCATTGGTAGTTGTTGATGGCATCGAGTTTCTCTCATGAAAACATGTTCTGGTTCTTTTAACATACTGTGGATGGGCCAGCGAAATCCGAAGCACCAGTTGAGGACGGTGGTAAACATCCCATTATTTATATATAGTAAGGCTCTCAACCATCCTTTCGGTGGTGCAGAATTCTTCCAGCCACAGTATTCACTGACATTTTGCTGTGTATATTGGTATATAACATGGGGGTTTCCATAAATGGAGGATCCCCAAAATGGACGGTTTATAATGGAAAATACTATTAAAATTGATGATTTAGGGGTACCCCCATTTATGGAAAGCCCCACATGTTCTAGCATAACATGAAAACCCCATGACACCTCCCCCAGTGGTTGTGTAATTAGAAAACCTCCCAGGGCCAATGTCTCTGAAATCACCACAGTGCCTGGCCTGGTGGTACCGAGCTCAGCCAATGGTTTTTAGGGGGGCCACTGGCTACAAATGTGTTGTTTTGCTGGGACCTGCAAAGATAGTCTTGACTAGGGTTGGAAGCAGCAATGTCACAGATGTCACAGTGTTTTTGCCGACGCTGATGCTACATGGTCTCGAAAATGATAGCCATTCGAAGAGCATTCATGGCCCATTTTGAAGAGAAAACCAAGTTTTCAGACCTTTTAAGTAGAAAGGCATTGCGACCTTTTTTGAAAACCTTTGAGGCTGACTGCCACAGTAGAATGATGACCCAGCAGGACCCAGTTGGTGAATCCTCAGCGACAGGTGGTGCTGCGTACAGACCAGCTCTCCTTCAAGTTTTTCTGCAGAGGTCGTGAGGCCGTGACCGGAGGGAGGGTATATTGCGCCGCCATAGTTATCATGAGTTATCCAGTAATATCTAGTAATGATCATGGGCAATTTTAATCATAGTTGGTATATGTTGGTATCCATTACTCAACATGAGGAATGGATCCTGGAATGCTAGACTGATGGAAGACTGATCGACACATCCATATCTAAGACAAGCTGACGGGTTTCAGATGGCTTTCAGCTATGCTTTTCCGTTACGTCCAACTTCGGCAGTTTAGCCAATCCCAGGGGACATGTTTTAGGGGAAGGGTTGAAGCCACTAACCAGTATTTGAATATATTATAATAAATATGCCAAAGTGACATTCAGATATTCCATCTAAGTTGATATTCAATATATATATATAATTATATATATGTATACATATGTACATTGAAATGAAGCGTCCTTTCCTCCATAAGTTGTTTTTCCATGTTGATTTTCAGCATCAAGTCCAGCACCATTCTTCGGCGAGGCGACTCACGTGGCTAGCTCATTCATGCTGCAAAACGATGTTTTGCGCATGCATCGAAACAAGCCATTGGCCCAGTGGAAAGTGACTGTTTCGATGTGGACGTCTAACTTCCCATAACCCCCAAAAATTGGGCCAGAAGTCATGCCCCCCGAGATAAGTTGAAGTTATGATACACATTAGCTACACCAGTTAATTTGAAATTATCTTAAGTTAATTAAAAAAATTACCTAGGGAGACAACATTGAAACAGGTTTATGGTCCAGCAAAAAAAGGTTTTGAATATCAACGGTTTCTATGGAGCTTTCCAGTGAAAGTTGAAGGAATATGGGTATGGATCAATACCTATTAATACCATTTTTAGTGGGATGAACATCCATAAATCCCAGCTATTTTGATGTTCACTAGGGGTACCAGGGTTTTGACCCATCCCCATATATCCACCTCTCCCACTGGTTCTACAACAAAAATGGTGGTTCAAACACCTAAAATCAGAGTCCTTGGAGTCGTCCTTCAAGACATCCTGGTGAAAAATATTGGAATCTATCGAATATCCATAGGAACCTTTGATATTCCCATATATTCCCATATATATTCCCACATATATATAATTATGTATATATATATAGTCATATATATATAGTCTCATATATATATATATTTCATATATCCCCATATCCCACACATGTCCAAGCTTTTTGCTGGATCTTTCCATTTTTTACAGCTCCTTTAGACGGGTTCCGCTTGTTGTTGGACGTCGAGGTTAGAGGCACATCTCACTCCAGCTGCGCAAGAGTTGGACCAATGGATCGACCAGCGGTTGAGGGTTGGGGACCTCAGCGGGGTCTCAGCGGCGAGGGTTGAGGGTTGGTGGATGATTACCATCAGGTTATGACTACCCTCTGGTAAACGTTTACATAACTATGGAAAGATCCACCATTTTATAGCTGGGCAAATCCACTATAAATCACCATTTTTTATAGCTATGTCAGCTATTACCAGAGGGTAACATAGCCATGGAAAATGATGGCCCTAATCGAAATAGATGGTGAACAACTGGGTTTACCTGGGTTTACCGTTCTTGAAAATGGTGATTTTCCATGGCTATGTTAAACCAGAGGGTAATATATATATATAATAGGGATGAGCTATGGGAGAATAGGGATGAATGATCAATCCAGTACTGGTTTCTTTGGGGATGTTCAAAGATATTCCCATATTCAGGATGATCCAGGATGACTATATATCTGGGTAAATTAAAACGACCTCACTGTGACCTCACTGGAATAATGGTTAGTAAGGGAAATCATCCCCAAATGGCCTTAATTCAGGTGAGGGCTCTCAATGAAGGTGAAAGGCCTTAATTCAGGTTAGTGAAATATTATAATTTACCCAGATATATGTAAATAAACATAGACCCTGAAAATAACCAAGTTTTAATGGAAACTAATCTTCCAACCCCTATCTACCAGGGTCTATGTTAATTTACTGGAGGGTATATAGGACATAGGGGAATTTTTCTAGGGGATATATATATATATATATAGGGGAATGAAAAAGAACATCCCAGAAAAATCCTCATATCTATGGTAATGGGATTGATGATGATTACCATCTGGTTATGACTAACATAGCCATGGTATAGATGGCCCATAGAAATAGATGGTTTACCGAACTTAAAAATGGTGATTTTCCATGGCTATGTTAAAGAACCAGATGATTACCCTCTGGTAAACTGAAACAAAAAGCTATTGAAAATGACCATGGAACTAGTGAGTTTTCCCAGCTATAAAATGGTGATTGTCCATTGTTATGTTAGTTTACCAGAGGGTAGTTCGTTTGTTCGGGGATAAAAAAAATGTTTTTTTTGGGTGGGATTAAATCCTTGATATTAATAGTTATAGGCTTTATAGGGGATTATACTACCCTTTAGATGTATTTATAATTATTTATATAATTGGGGATGATATATAATAATCCAAGAACGGGGAATCACGTTCTCAACCAACCAATGGGGATTGGCCATGTGTTGCCATTGCCGTGATGGTGAGGGGATAGATGATAGACTCTGATAGATACGTAATAGTTAACTCAGTTAAGTTGCTGAGCTACCAAAATACTAGATGTTAAGGGATAGATCATGAATGATCATGAATGTTGGAGACGTGAAACCTTAAGATCTATACATTTATTATCATTGACTATCATTGAAGTTTATGAATGACAAATCTAGTTGACCACGCCTCTGCATGTGAGGAGATCAAAGAGATGGAAGATGAGCCGACGGAAGATTGGAAGGCGGAGGTTCCCAGGAGCGGAGATCCAATGGTGCCTGATACCCTGGGACGATGAATTTTTATGGATGTAAAAATGGGATGTTTTTCAAATGATATCGGATGTTTGAACTTAACCCCTTCAGAAAGAGAAGGATGCTGTTCCTGCGGCAAAATGAAGCTCCCCATTGAGATAAGATGATGTAAATTCACCAATGTGTCGTACACGACGCACTGTATACCTAATTGCTGTCAGGCGACAGTTGCAAGCGACTGTCATGTGGTTCCAGCGAGCTGTCATCAAACGGCCAGAACTACATGAGAATGGGGGGTAGTTTCATGGCCTCAGCTGAGACCAACAAAGAATCTCTTGAGTCCCACTTTGACCCATCCCCAGCCCAAGTTGGGGTCTGAAGATGGTGGTTTCCCAACCCCCACAATCCATCATCCCATGAGTGTCCCACGATTTATCGTCAGTCTCCCAGGAGCTTCATCCATGCAGCGAATCGCACATGGTTCAAGCGCCAAACCACGGTGGTCAGGGGTGCAGCAGCAAGGTGCGGAAGCTCATAGATTTTACCATCCCCAATTCTACCATGAATGGATATAGATGGGTGGTATAGACATGAAATGTGGGACCAACTCAAATAGAACTTTGCCCAAAAGCAACCAGAACTTTAGAATTGTCTATCTGTTTTGTTAGTCTTGTTCTCTATCACTTCCTTTCTATGTGCATGTCTCTATAGGTTTTCCCCTCAATCCATATGGATCGTTTATGACATTGCTTTAGCATGCTTTAGCAACAATAATGGTGTTCTACGCTTATAGCAACCAAAACCTTTGGGATTTATGGTTAATTTTATGTTGGCAATAGGGAAGCAACATGAAATAACCCATCTTAATCAGCCATGGAGATAGAATGGTTTTTTTTTTCAACAGTTGGTGGGGCCCAATTCGTTGGCGAAGTTGGTGCAAGTCACTCCAATAACTAGGCCAAAAATGGTGGATATATCTATACCTAACGGGTTTTTTTTCGGGCACCGCCTTGTTTCTGGGTTTGTCTGACGAGCCACTGGTCTATCATCATGTTCCGGCACTTGAAATGGCAATGCTTGGGGATACCCATCAATATTAATGTCAACCCCGGATTAATACACCATGGTTTATTAATTGGGGTGGTACTACACCAATAGTCATAATCTAATACTTTTTTATGGTACCATCCCAATTAAACAGCCCACAGGGGTTTATTAATCCAGGGTTGACATTATACATCTCCAAAATTCTTCAAATTTGAATACAAACACATGAATGTATATTTGCAACACATATAGCACATCAAGATCAAGAGATTCACACATATATAAAGGTTTCCTAAAACGGCAGCACACCCCAATCATCCAGTCATGGATGGCCATGACCATTGAAGCCCATGGTGACGAGGGGATCCCCCACTATAGCCAGGCTTCCGGTGACTTGGGAGCCGGAGGTCTTTTTTCTGGGTCTCACATCAGGTGACCAATGGGCCGGGCAGCCATGGACGCGTGCTTGGAACATATATGTTTCATGGTTCAAGATGTTCATGTGTGCACATTTAATAAATATATCTGTTGTTTTTTGCTGTTGCATTTTTTGGATTGTTCATCCATAAACATGATGGGCACATTTGTCACAGGTCGAAGGCTACCGGGCCGGGCCCTGCATCAAGCGCTCGGCAGGTGCTGACACTGTCATTGAAGTGCCCATTATGCGATGGGAGCACGAGACGGTGTCGGGCCCTTGGAGAAGCTGAAATCAGCCTGAAAAAATACATAGATTACGATATAATATGACGCAATATTGTAGATAAATGTAGATGATATAATATACTATTAATATGCTATAATGTAGATATAATTAATACAGTATAGTAAAAATATGCATGAATGTGATTGGCTAGTTAGCTTCCTTCATCTTTGGGTATCTGGCATCCTGGAGCAAAGCAAGGTACGACCCGTCGCCGGACTGCTGGAAACAGAATCCGCCCAAGACCAATTGCAGGCGATGGGTGAAATGTAGGGGATCCATGAAGTTTTTGGGTCATTTTTGGGTTATGAAAATGGATGAAAGCTGGAGTGCTATTCGGAATTCATGATGGGAGATGACTATATTGGGAGCTTGTGATTTTTTTTTGTGTTTTATATATCTTTATAACCAGTTGAGTGATGAGCGTCAGACAAATGACCAGCCCGCCGAATCGGTTCTGTGGGTTTTGCAAGTTATCTCAGCCGGTGGTGGAGAGTCCATTGTTGTTATCATGTTGGTAACACCTGTTGAAGTTTTTCCCAATATCTATACCCATAGGATCCATGTATGGAATATTTACCAACATTTGCCCCATAAATGACCCAAATGTAGGCAAATATACCATACATGGATCCTATGGGTATAGGTGTCCCAATCCCATGATGGATAATCGATCGAATCGATTTCCCCGACCATTCGGGCGGAGGGGTATCCCTCCCATGACTTGGCCAGGCATTGCTCCTTGATTGATGGTGTGGACCTCTTTGACAACAAACTCTTCGGTTTGTCACTGGCGGAAACCAAAGGCCCGGTGCCGTCGTCTCGTCAGTCACTCGGGGTCCCAAGGCAACACCTCTGGTTGAGGGATTCAATGTCATTGGGGGTGTACCTCATTTTCAGAGACATCAATATATGGATTTGTAATGAATTATATATAGAGCAGGGATCACCACACCCCCCTTGCAGCCAGATGGTTCCCTCCCCCCCCCTGTGGCCTTGGGGGGTTCCCAACAACAACAGTCCTACATGGGCAGTGTTTGTGCAGCTCTAAGTGGTCGATGTCCACTTTATAAGGAGTGTATGGAGAGTATTTATGGAGTTATTTGCAGGGAGTATATACGTATATAGTATATGGGCACGCTATGCAATGAGTCGCGTATATAGGTATGCTATGAAACATGTATAGGTCGTATATGTAGGATGTGAGGAGTATATAGGTAGTGATGAAGCAATGTATATACTACAACTACACATAGGTATTGCTTACGTTGGTGTTCACATGTAGATATATTTAGGTAGTATACATACATATATATATATATATATATACATATATTGCAGGTACATACTGCATCCAAGCATGTAGATCATATAGTATATAGGATCATACAGGTATGCAGGTATGCATTATGCGTAGGTACGCTTTCAGCATATAATCTACGGTAGCAAATATGTAGCGTAAAGGCACACAAAGAGTGATAGAACATGCATGAGGTACGCTGGCAGTACATAAACAAGTTTTGGGTAGTATGTGCTAGATTGATACTGTGGATGGTTGCGAAATCCTGCACCAGTTGATAGATGGTTTATCCCATTAATCCCATTATTTATAGGTTTTCAACCATCCAAAATTGGTGCTGGAAAGCCCAAAAAAATAATGGGATAAGGTATTATCCAGTCATTGGATTGAGGGAAAATCTGCAGGAAACCATGATTTTTACCATTAAATATGGGGGTTCCTGTAAATTTTCCCTTAAACCAATCCATTGATATTACTACCTGAAATCCACTGGTGAGGCCTCGCGGAAACCCCATCCACCGTGAAATTTTGAGGCATGGATCCTGGTCAGAGATTGGTGTTGGAGGTCACCTACGACTCCCTCTACAGGCCTTGCAGCGCTATCGACACGGCAGCGCCATGTTTTTTAACATGGCGATGTCCATGGGAAAAAGTCACCGAAATCTATAGATTACCTGGGAAAGTCACCGAAATCTATAGATTACCCGGTGATGAGCCTCTGGAAAATAAACATAGACCCTGAAAATCACCCAATTTTTAGAGGAAACATGAGGAAACTCATCTTTCAAGCCCTATCTGGCAGGGTCTATGTTGATTTACTGGAGGGTAAGTGTTACACACTGGGGATTTTCAAATGGTAAAATGCTCGATAGATTGGGATTCAGGTTTGGGGATACAACCAGTGTGCCATAGTCAAAAGTTGAATTATGTATCTATTCCTGTATCCATATTGGGGATGGTCATGCCCCCATTAATAGGGGTTAAGATACTGTACCAAGTATGAGAACTTCCTAATGATGGTGGGATGTTATGAACATGGGATTTGTTCTTGGGTGTACCGTTTACCACATTTGCGTTTGGCAATGTGAAATGATAAATGGGCTTGTCTGAAAATAGGGTATATTCCCAATTATAGCCATTTAATAGGGATAATGATCAGCAAAACCATTGGGTTTAGGGGTACACTATTTTCAGACACACCCAAACGGTAATCATTCATAGAATTGGATGATGGGAAAATTTACAGGAAAGCCCTATATTTGATGGTAAAAACCATGGTTTCCTGTAGATTTTCCCATCAACCAATCCATTGTAATAATGGATCAAAAATCACAGTCTCCCAATTTGACCCACAAGCTGCTGCCAACATCGACTTGATGTTAAATTTCACAGATCTGACGGCGACTGATGCTGACTTTCATGGCATGTTTCTCAGGCTTTGTGTCTTGAAACTACTACGAGACTACGAGAGGATATATGTGATATGAAAGACATGGTATTCAAGCTCAACAACTACATATTTGTGCCATGTTTCCCATGGTTTTGTGGGTTTTGGGTCTGCCAGGTCACCAAACACCAAGCCTTGGGGGAGAATCCGGTGCCCCGCAGGAGTGGAATGAGGAAGAACACCTTGATCAACTCCACTTGCGGAATGTATGCTAGAGCCTTCAGAGCCTCCAGGGCCTTCAGGGCCTTCAGTTGTGGCCATGGGGATCGCATATCGGCATATCTCTCTTGTTGAACACTGTGCCCCTGATTTACGAAGTGTTTACTAAGTTTACTATTGGGGTATCTCAGGTTTAAGGACCTTTTGGTGTAATTAAATGGTATATGTTTGTTTGGAATGCGACTCACCCAAAACCCAGAAAAACATGGCAAAGGGCAAATGGATGCAAAAGGGGGATACTGGGACAGCAGCTGGTTGAATGTTGGCTGTGATCAATGTGTGTTGCTTTGTTTTGATGTTTCTTTTGCTGGGGAATGTGGCATTGCGGTTGCCCGGAACTTTCACTTGCTTTTTTGTGCTTGTTGCTGTTGTGGTTTGTTCTTGCATGTCCTTGCTTTGCATTCATTTTCCCACCGTCTGCCACATTGCTTTGCCATCTTCAAAGACCTCTTCATCGATTTATTGCGGGGTGCCCCAGCCAGAAGGGAACCGGAGTTGTGCTGCGCTCGAGATGCCTTAAGCTGACATTCAAACACGTGCTATCACTTGTTCCAACCTGCACGTTGCCGTTCAAATCAGCTGACATAGTTGCATGTTGTTTAATATTGATCGAGCATGATCGAGCATGATCGAGCATGACACTTAGCTTGTTCTTGCGCTTGCGCAGAGTTAGCATGACCTGAAAAATGGGCGCTCTGAAGCTGGGTCTTCAGCTTCGATGCTTGACAACATCCTCCAGGAGAATGAAAGCAAGAAGATTTCAGGCATGACATGGATGTGATCGTTAGCTTTCCAGGTGCGCATGGATTTGCGTGGAACCTTGAGAAGCACGGCGAACTCGCTAAAGTCTGGCAGTGACCCTGCTGACAAGCTGTGTTTTTCTTCCCAACGCACAAGCTGATGGCTACCGTGTTCATTCCATGCCTTTTGTTGCTGATGGCACCCATTACAGTTGTCACTGTCAGCATCTCTACGGACAAGAACAAGGTTTTGGCTGTGGTATGTCAAATGGAGGTTGAAGACAGAGTATGCCGCAAAGCGAAAGTGCAAACTCCTGGGTAAATTATAACGAGCTCACTGCGACCTCACTGGAATCATGGCTTATAAGGGAAATCATCCCCAAATGGCCTTAATTCAGGTTAGTGAATTATAATAATTTACCCAGAAACTCATTGTCACCAAAATGGACGGAACCCTTGAACCTTTGGTCGATCACAAGAAGGACTGCCAGGTTTCAAGGCCGAGAAGCTGCTCTGGCTAAACTATATCGACCTCAAACAACGTCATGAATAAATGATGGTTCTCCCAGGGAAAGCATTCAGAAATAGCAGGACTTCAGGATGATGATGTTTGATATTTCCGCCAGTTTGTTTGAATATGTTGTAGACACATATCACATGCTGTAGGCATGTGTCGATGCCTATATAATTCACTTGCTGCATGTTGCCGTTGGTTGGAACAGGCGTCTCTGGAATCCCCGCGTTTTTTCCATGGATAATTTTACAATATTTTACACATTTTCAAAGATATTTGCGGGGGATAGCCCGCAAGTGTGTTTTCCAATGATGAAATTTCTTCCTGAAGTTTCATTTCCATTTCATGAATTGAAACATCCATCACAGCGAGTGTCCATGCTTGCCAGCATGTCAGCGACAAAACGCAAAACGGTGGATTGACAGACTGCTTCTGAGAAACCTTCAGAAAAACTTACTGCTGCTTAGCAGGGAATGAGGGAATGATCCATAGTCACTAGTAATAATCATCCCATTCCCCCATTCCCCCATTCCCATCCATTCCCTGCTAAGCACCAGTAAGAAAAACATTCAGTCAAAAATTGCGGCTCATTGCTTTGGGCTTTCTTTGAGTTTGTTGGAATGACACTTTGAGAGGTTGGCATTGAAGCCCGGATCACACAGACACACTTTAGACTCTAGACTGTTCCGCATGTTATTCTCATCACTGGGATGTTTGTTATATAATTATATATATATCATATTATATCATATTTATATTAATTATATTTATAATCATAATCCCAACAGTCAATTAGCCAGCGGTGTTCATGTCTGCCACGCCGAGGTTTTCACGAGACGACCACGTGGGCGATGCTTTCTGCATAGCGGTGGACCTTCAAGACTTGAAATTGGGAAAGTGTCCCATTGATATATGATAATATACATATATATATGATATAAGATGAGATAAGATGATATAAATTCGTTGGATCTATACAAATCAAATTACATCAATCATTTTTAGGGACAATTCCCATCCAGCTAATAGCACGGCAAATCCATAGAAATCCCATCCAACTAGGACACAAGTGCGAAATAGTGCGAACACATTTTGGGGCAATTCTCATACCCTCTTTTGGTTGTAAAAGCCCTGAATATTTATCCAAATAGATCCAAATATATAGTATCAAAATCTTCCAACTGATGCTTCAAAAAGAGAATTTGATGCTTTCTGATGGTTTTCTATTGTCCAAAACACTGACTTGGATGGTTTCTGATGGTTTTCGATGGTCCAAAACACGCCAAATTGGATGGTTTAGCCGTGGTATTTAACGACAACGACCACCCCCGAGCGAAAAAAATCTCAGGTGGGAACCTCCCAGAGTGAGTGGAACTCCGCGGAGAAAGCTGCCGATGCCACGAGCCCAGGGGTTGGCCCAGCATCGGCACGGAATCTGCCGAAGATCCATCAAAAACACATCAATAACCCACAGGATCCATGGTGCTGGTATATATGCTAACATAAATGGGGTATATTGATGGGATCCATGTTACCATATATAGCATACATGGATCCTATGGGTATATATATATACATATGATGATTAATGATGTATACATATGATGTATATATCCAAGAATTCATATATATATATATATCATTAATCATCATTAATCATCATTAATCATCATTAATACATCTATTCAGCTATACTAATCATCTTATCCATTTCATATCCCGGGAATCCAACGAAGCTTCGGTGCTTTTGAGGTTGGTATCTTCGGCGCGACCGGCGGAGCGCCCAGTATCACAGCAGGTCGTCGGGGTCGCTCAGTGGACTTCGACGCATCCATCGGTATCCATTAGTATCAAGGAGCCATTATTATATAGATGTACTGTATATGGTTGATGGTTTAATAGGACCATTAACTATGGTTTATGGTAGATATAACTATAGTTAATCAATGGGGATTATAATGGTTTATAAACCAACAAACACTGGTTGGTGGTTTGGAACATTTTTTGTTTTTCCATATATTGGGAATGTCATCATCCCAACTGACGAGCATATTTTTCAGAGGGGTAGGTATACCACCAACCAGATAATTATACTGCAATATCCAACATTTTGGACCATCTATTCAATATTATTCAATTATACATTTTTATCCATATATCATATATCCATTAAATATATTTAAATATATATATATTATCAATATTTTTTTCAATGGGAATTTCAGGATCCTAAAATGGAGGTACTGTACCATATAAGGGCATATTTTCTAGGGATATTCCCTTACATAGGCCTTATATAGGCCTTATATATGGTAGGTACCTCCAATTTAGGTTCCTGAAATGTCCGTTGATTTTTTTCTGTGTGTCAAGTATTTATCCATAATTATGTATCCATATGTTTTATCCGTAGTTAATAGATCAGAGATAATGATTGAATGAATGCTATATCATCAACAATAACTTTGGGGAATGTACACCCCAGTTATACCATGATCTGAACCATCAAATGCTTGAGTACCCTATTTTCAGACAAACTCATAGTTGTCCATTGAGATACGATATTATTCAAAGGATAATTTCCATGTTTTTATGTAAGTCCATTGACACATTGGAAATACATGCAAACATATGCAAACTCCAATGTATCTGAAAGATTGATCAATGATACCGTGATACCTGATACCTGAAACATAGATACATTGGACAATTTTCAGCTGGGTATTTGTGGCCCAGAAGTTGTCTCTCAAAGGTGAATTACCCAAGGATCAATCCCTGGTTTCAAAAGGTGGTTGCACAATGTTCAAAAGATTTAAGACATTTATAGATATGATATAATATAGTGTAGGATAATATAATATAATAAAATATAATACATTATTTATATATACATATATGAGTAACCAACAAAATTAGCGGAAGACTACAGTAGTGGGGAGTGGACTTGGGATGTTCAAATTTGTGCGAAGACATTCATAGCCGATAGGGGATCACCCACTTACCGATACCCTATGTTTACACATAGCATGGAAGTACAACCCTTCGCAACCGATAGGGGACCACCCACTTTGGCCATGTCCATTGCGGGTAGTATGTAATTTTGTCCGCCACTCATATATATATATATATTTATATTTATATTTATTTTTGTTCATATATATATATAGTATTCATACTTATATGTACATATATTATATAAATAATGTATATATCATATATATATGTGTGTGTGTCAGGCATCTTTGGGATGATCAACAGATCCCCAAAGATGATGCCCATTGGAGTTACTGCAGCTGAGGTTTGAGCTTCTGCTTGGGCTGCAAGGGAGCATCCTTGGCCATCGATACTGAGGACAGCTCGATGGTCGGTTGAAATACGCATAGATCTCGATATCAAATCTATGGTAATATGCTTAATCTATGGTTAATTTATGGTTAATCCATGGTTAATCTATGGCTAGATTATGTTAATAGATATGCTAATCTTGATATAGTAATGTATAGAGGTGCATTCTCTCCCTGCACTTCAGTGCAGTCCCTAAAATTCATGCACAATGTATAATATATATGATATATGTAATATTGGTAATAACATCAATAGTATTACATTAATGATGGTAACAATCATGACAATGATGATAGCATCAAAAATAATCATCATCAGTATGTTTGAACGTCCATGCTAATTAATCGCACTTGACTCCCCATCTTTTGACGGTTACCGTAAGACGCCCCATGTTTACTGTAATACTTAAAGGCTTAAACCGACTGATACAGTCAGTATCCACAAACCACAAACCACAAACGACAATCATCATCATCATCATCACCATCATCATCATAATCATAATAATAATAATCATCATCATCATCACCATCATCATCATAATCATCATAATCATCATCATCATCACCATCATCATCATCACCATCATCATCATCACCATCATCATCAACACCATCATCATCATCATCATCATCATCACCATCATCATCATCACCATCATCATCATCATTATCATCATCATCACCATCATCATCATCATCACCATCATCATCATCACCATCATCATCATCACCATCATCATCATCATCATCACCATCATCATCATCATCACCATCATCATCATCACCATCATCATCATCATCATAATCATCACCATCACCATCATCATCACCATCATCATCATCACCATCATCATCATCACCATCATCATCATCATCATCATCATACCATCCTTTCACCACTCCCTCTGTGGCTCCGCAGGCTGCCTCGGGGCTGTCGGCGGTCTTCTGGGCCGCAGAGTCAGTTGAGAAGAAGGGCGCAGGGCACATCCAGGCACCCGCCTCGGTGGTTGGGTTCTTGGGGGGCCAGTGGGGAGGGGCCAGTGGGGTGCAGATTGTTGAAGGTTGGGTTTATTACCCTCTGATGATTTAACATAGCCATGGAAGCCATGGCCCATTTATAGATGATTTTCCCAGGTATAAACCTCCATTTATAAGGGATTTTCTCCATGGCCATGTTAAATAACCAGATGGTACTGGTACAATCTACATTGTTGTTTGTTGGGTTATTGTTGAAGGTGCAGATTGTTGTTGTTTATTACTGCCGCAGCTTATTGATTATTATTGATTGGTTAATTATCTACACCAGTTTATCTATTAGTTGTTTAATAATCTACGGGTGTTGCAACTATCTACAACTTGTAGCTTGGGCCCACATCTTGGGCATCGATATCGCCAGGAGATGGCTTGTGGCATTGGGGTGCATCTGTGCCTCGCCAAGGCGCACCACATGTATTTTGTGTGATCCACATTCAAAAAACTATACTATATAATCAAATATATAATCAAATATAATATATTTATATAATGTATATGAAATATATATATATGCACGCACATACATATCAAGTGAATTAATTATATACATATGTACAGGACTCTCCAAATTGATGGAAAAGAGATGATCATCATCACATATCAAGTGAATTAATTATATACATATTTACAGGACTCTCCAAATTGATGGAAAAGAAATGATCATCATCACATTTATTGGGTGTTTGTTCTATCCCCTTGAAGTCTACTATATGTATGCATACATACCTTGACATGTAGAGTTGTACACATAGATGTATTATCCGATACAGGCATATTTTACGATATAGACATGTTACAATGTGTTTATACACACTTATCCACATATATCATAGATACCAGCGACTGGAAGTTGATGTGGGAACAACATGCCAAGAGGCCATTCGATGCCGTATGTAATATAGAGCCAGATTTGCTTCCGGTGCCTGATCTACAAGTGTCGAAGAAGCCTCAGTTCCATTTATTATCTATTGGATAATCTCATGTTCAGCTGCAAGTGCAGGATCATTTACGAACCATTGTGAAAAACACTCACATTTTGCTATTATTACCAAAGTCAATATGGTTTGTTTTCAAAGGAAAACTTAACATGTTTCTTGTGATTTACACAAGTTACCGGGAGATCCGAGACTGTGTACATACATACAAATTCGCAGAGGAAATGGAACAGATGATATAATCACCTACGCATATGTAAATATATATATAGGAGCCGATCGCAAATGCCAATCTAAGAATTATGAATCGGCCTTCATATCTTGACATCCGCGATTGTAAAACACTGCACCGCGATTGATCGGCGATTGATATGCGATTGATGCAGTTATCTATTGTGTATATGGGAGAAAATCATTCTTTGTATAACCGCTGTTCATATTTGTAGTATGCTGCAGTCTTGTGTGCTGGGTTTGGCAGGGTCAATTGAGCCAAAAAAAAGTGGGCTGATTTACAGTAGTATTGCGCAATCCTTCGTTCAGAATTCCAGGCACCGCCGCAGCTATTTCGGATGTTTTTGGTAATTTTGGAATGTGCCATTTAGTTGGGAACGACCATGAATGACATCCAGAACGACATTGGAACAACCTCATATATACGTATATATATACATACTAGCACTACCACTAAACCACTACCACTACCACTACTGCTGCTGCTGCTACTACTTCTACTGCTACTACTACTACTACTGCTACTACTACTACTGCTACTGCTACTGCTACTACTGCTACAGCTACTACTGCTACAGCTACTACTGCTCCTACTGCTACTACTGCTACTACTGCTGCTACTGCTATTACTGCTACTACTACTGCTGCTACTACTACTACTGCTACTACTGCTACTACTATTACTACTACTACGACGACGACTACTACTACTGCTGCTGCTGCTATTACTGCTAGTACTACTCGTATTGGCTTTATAGTTTTTATAGATGTTCTTTTTCCCCACCTGCCAGGTGAGGGTTGTTAGATTTCATGTCAGTTGCCTGGTCCTCCTCGTCCTCCTCGTCCTCCTCCTTCTCCTCCTCGTCCTCCTCCTCCTCCTCCTCCTCTCGTTGTCCTCCTCGTCCTCCTGCTCAACTGCGACTCGCGATCCACAGTGTTCTCTGTCGGACCTCCACCACGACCATCCACGCCCAGTGTTCCCTGCCGGACCTCAACCACGACCATCCACGCCCAGTGTTCCCTGCCGGACCTCAACCACGACCATCCACGCCCAGTGTTCCCTGCCGGACCTCAACCGCGACCATCCACGCCCGGTGTTCCCTGCCGGACCTCAACCGCGAGTATCCATGCCAAGTGTTCCCTGCCGGACCTCAACCGCGAGTATCCACGCCAAAAGATATGCCACATAGAGTGCCAGAAGATATGCCAGATAGAATGTTAGAAGATATGCCAGATAGAATGCCAGAAGGTATGCCAGATAGAATGCCAGATAGAATGTCAGCTAGAATGCCAGAAGATATACCAGATAAAGTGCCAGAATGTTTGCCAGATAGAATGCCAGCAGATTTGCCAGATAATATGCCAGAAGATATGCTAGATAGAATGCCAGATGGAATGCCAGAAGATTTGCCAGATAATATGCCAGATCGAATGCCAGATGGAATGCCAGAAGATATGCCAGAGCATATGCCAGAAGATATGCCAGAAGATATGCCAGGACATCTGCCAGGAGATATGCCAGAACATCTGCCAGAAGATATGCCAGCTAGAATGCCAGAAGATATGCCAGATAGAATGCCAGATCGAATGCCAGAAAATATGTCAGATAGAATGCCAGAAGATTTGCCAGTAACAAAATGTATAAATGTCATGGTGGGGATCACACGAAGTAAAGTAATTTTGCTTCTGAAGGAAAGTGTCCGGAAGAGTCAGAAACAGCTGGGGTCGTTCTAAACCCCCTTGAAGCAAATTTAGTGGAGGCGTTACTTTGGTGATTCTGTAGAGCAAAAACACATGGTTTTTCTCTGGAAGGCGCAAGAAGGCGCAAGGGCGAGCGCAAGGTTGTATAAGTCTAGATATGTAAGTGCCTACTTTCTTTTGCTTTTGTTTCTTTTCTTTTCCTTTCTTCTTTCGTTTACTACTATTATGATTACTACTACTACCATTACCACTACCACTACCACTACCACTACCACTACCACTACCACTACTACTACTACTACTACTACCACTACTACCACTACCACCACACTACTACTACTACTACCACCACTGCTACTGCTACTACTACTACTACTACTACTACCACTACTACCACTACCACTACCACTACCACTACCACTACCACCACACTACTACTACTACCACCACTGCTACTGCTACTACTACTACTACTACTACTAGTCAAAGCATTGGTACCTCTTCTACTACTACTACTACTACTACTAGTACCATGCCAGGAATAATGATAGCATAGAACAGGTCTGAAACAGGTCTGAAACAGGTCTGAAACAGGTCTGAAACAGGTCTGAAACAGGTCTGAAACACTCAAAACGTTTAAGTTGCGTGCCTTTCCCCTTTTGCAATTTGCTTTCCCACTCGATTCCAGCACTTGCATTGCAATCAGCACTTGCATTGGAATCACATTTTTTAAAATATTACTATAGCTTTAACATGTGCTAGCACTCCATCAACAACCATCTCAGCACTCCATCAAGAGACTGCCATGGCAGCCCGCTTAGCGGAAGCGGCATTTATTTTGGTCAGAGAGCGGCTCCAGAGTGGCGACTGATTTTCGCATATGTGCGTCACGGCAATGCAACCCGTGATTCTTCTTTTGGGACGGACAGCCTCGTTTGCATTATGCTAGACTGACGCTGCTCTCGTTTCCCTTAGACAGCTAGCAACTTTGTTTGAAGCAACGTGAGGCTGGTCCAGCTAGGATATGGGTCTCATGGAAAGCCACGGTGCGGGGGATCAGTTGTGCCAATCAAGCCTTTGAGGCATGAGCCGTTCTCACCTGAGCTTGGGGAAAAGCTTCAGTGTGGAAAAAAGCTTCACTACGCAGTGTTTTTTTTTTATCCGGGCTGTTCGCGTATTGGAAGGGCTTCTTTACGTTTTTTGGGTGGCTCTTTCACGCCAACTCACGCACGGTCAACAATTTTCAGAATATTTTCAGTAAACAATTATTGGATAGACATTGATATAGACAGATTCTGAAAAGTTGAGTGGATGCGAAAGGCAACATTTTCTCCTCTTCAGGGCGATGCCGCGCCCTTATTTTGTCTTCTTTTCCACATCTCGGAAAGCTTTCGCTTGCTTGTGGCTCCCAGCCCGCGCTGTCCACACGATCTGAGAGGATCAACACTATTCAGGAGCCAACCTTTCATAGATAAACTATTAGGCAGTTCCACGTTTGATGTGCTAGTGTTTTCTTTGCATTGAACAGTTAGACTACCCAGAGGGTTGTCTACACAGGGTCTTTGACAAATGTCGACTCTGCATGGGTCGGCGCTGACGTTGAGGCCGACATGGGCCAGGTTGGTGTTGGCCGGTGCCAAGCAGCTGGAGCTTCGGTCTTATTCATGCTGCGCTCGCGGCGCTGTGGCTATCTTGCCGAGCGGTAGCAGCTGTGTTACTGGCGTCGTTCGGCGGCTCGGCTGCACGCAATCAGTTCTAGGGTTGCAGGGTGAGGAAAGGATCAGAACCATCTTCCACGGTGCGCCCTGTGCAAAGCCTGTGCTGTCTTCAGTATGTGACTTTCCCATGCTAGACAGGCTTGTGTGTACTGCTGCTGCCGAACCAAGGATTGAGTCCTGCGACTTCTTCACCTTCGGAGAGCTGCAGCAGAAGAGGCATTTGCACCGCGTCTCCGAGGACGAGAAGAAAAAAACGTTTTCCACAGAATTCAAGCCTTCTCTGTGTACCCACGCCTCATGTCTTCTTATCTTTCATTTAGAACCTGGCCCGACAAACCAGGAGGACTTGCAGAAATGGTTTCCTAAGGGTGCCTACGGATGGTCCTTGCGTAGGGCCTTTGTTATCCAGCCTCCTGTGGAAGTTCCTCGCCGTCATGGATCTGCATCTCGGCTGCGAACGGGAAAGTATTCGGAGTCAATGCAAACAACATCAAACAACAGATCCCAAGCTGGTCTGAAACAGGTCTGAATCAGGTCTGAAACAGGTCTGAAACACTCAAGGACCAGCAATTAATTTGAACGCCCCTTCCCGATCTTCCTTCTTTACTTGCTGTTCATTTTATTAGATTTCAGAACACCTTGATTGATGAAATCAGACAGCTGTGGATAACCATTGGTCGTCTGCGAATAGCAGCACATATTGCCTGGGTATTTTGAAGAATATGCTTGCCCACATGAAGCTGACAAGGTCGATGAGTTGGCTGCTATGAGGCGCTTCATCCAC